ACGTGTCTCCTTCTTCCAGAGGCATGGCAGATGAAAACTCAGGTTCTTCATCATCATCTCCAAGATGTGCAATTTGATATAAGTAACTGGAGAGAAACAAATAAGACTTTAGTTAAAAATATTTTCTGTCTGAAGATAATGTTTGACATCAACATTGATGCTCATAAAAGTACTTTATAAATATCTAATCCAAATTATAACATGCATTTTTGAGTCAGCGTCTGCAGTTTGAAATCTCTGCTTACCTGAGTGTTTTCTCTCTCTTTTTTAAAAACAGAAAAGGGATGAAAAAGTTAATACTGAATTCAATCTGGCACAATGAAAGAACCTCAGCATCACGGTGCTTTATAAACACTGGGCTTCCACTAGAGTGTTTGGGTTCAAATCCCAACCTTAGGCTCATTACTTCATCTCTCCATATCTTACTTGCCTCATTTATAAAAACAAAATAGTACCTGCCTACAGAATTCTGAGTACTTACAACAGTGCATGGCACCTCATAAGTAGCATGTTTGTCAAATAAGATGAAATATGGATAAAGGAAATCCAAAGAAAATCTACAACCATTTACTATCTTAATAAAAAACCAGGCCAAATCTATCAAAAAACAAGAACTGGCGGTGACCTTACAGAAGTATGCAGATATTACCGTATTATTCCCAAACAAAACATAAATGTATCCAAAGATAATAAGCAACAAAATCTGTCTGGTATTCTAATAATGCTTATTAGTGAACTGACTCAAAGGCAAACCACAAAAAGGGGAAAGCAATTTGAGAATAACCTGTAACAATATGCCATCATAAACTGAGTGTGCAATGAGCTTTAGGGAAGCAACTCAATTAAAATAAAACACCAGAAGACTTCCAGTAAGATGGCAGCATAGACAGACATGGTTCGCCTCTTCACACAACCATAACAAAATTACAACTAAACGACAGAACCACCACCAATCAGAATCATCAAAAATCAAGTTTAATGGAAGTCTGACAACTACAGAATTAAAGAAACCACATCCATCCAAACTGGGAGGAGGGGCACAAGTGCAGAACAGGCTGGTCCCACAGCCACATGTGGTGCATAAAATATTCCAGAGGGGTATCTCAGGAGTGAGGAGTTTCAGCTCCACACTGGAACCCCCAGCCCAGGGTTCCAGTGCCAGAAGATAAGTCCCCACAATTTCTGGCTGCAAAAAGCAGTGGTGATTGAGTAGGTGGAGGAAACTGCTGGAGCCCCAAGCAGTTCTAAAGAACCCACACATGAATTCACCTACTCAGATTCACTCCCTCTGGGCTCTGGCTCAGTGTGCAGGGGGCGGCTGAGGTGTCTAGCATCAAGGCAAGCAGAAACCATTGTCCCTTTTCTGGGACCTCGCTCCACAAAACCCACTGAAGCTGCTTTACCACAGAAATGGCTGGTCTTGGTTCATGCTTCACAACTTCCTAAATCCTCTCAAACAAGCAGCAGCTAGCCTCAGGGAGCCCCATGCCTAAAACTAGCAGCCTAGATTCACAGCTTGGCTTTGCCTGGAAAAACACAGGTGGGGGCGGATCTTGGCCTGCACCACCAGGGACACCCCAGGGCCAGCACACCCCGTGGACAGCTACAGAACACATCAGAGCACCACCACCCTGCCCCTGCACGGCTGATCCTCCACAGAGGGCAGAGGTTGGTGGTTAAGTGGTCACAGTAAATCCTTGCAGCTGACTGGCCTGGGTAAATCCCTCTCATTGACCTGACAACAGCAACCAAAGCTCAATTGCAAGAGACAGGTGTACCCAGCTTACACAAAGGGCACACCTTGTGTATCCAGCTTGGGCGATAGGGGTGGCTGTGCCACTGGACCCTATAGGACACCTACTACATTAGGCCACACTACCAAGACACAAGAGTCACAGCAGCTCTACCTAATGAATAGAAACAAACACAGGGAGGCTGCCAAAATGAGGAGACCATAAAAGGGGGGGGGGGGGAAAAGAAACATGGCCCAAATGAAAAAAAACAGATCAAAACTCCAGAGAAAGAGCTAAACAAATGGGAGATAAGCAATCTATCTGATGCAGAGTTCAAACACTGGTTGTAAGGATGTTCAAGGAACTTAGGACCTCAACAGCGTAAAAACGACACAGTCAGAAAAGAAGGATATACTAACTGAAGCAAAGAAAAATTTACAGGGAAACAACAGAAGAGTGGCTGAAACTGAGAATCAGACCAATGATTCGGAACATAAGGAAGCAAAAAAGTCAATCAGAACGAGAAAAAAGAATCCCCAAAAAACAAGGATAGTGTAAGCAACCTGTGGGACAACTTGAAGCATTCCAACATTTGTTTCACACAGGTGCCAGAAGGAAAAGAGAGAGCAAGAATTTGGAAATCTATTTGAAACAATGAAAGGAGACTTCCCTAATTTGGTGAAGGAAATTGACATGCAAGTCCAGGAAGCACCCAGAGTCCCAAACAAGATAGATGCAAAGAGGCCCATTCCAAGACACATCATAATTAAAATGCCATGGGTTAAAGATAAAGAGATGGGAGGGGGTGGGTGGAAAATAGGTGAAGAGATGAGGGGATTAAAAAATACAAATAGGTAGTTATAGAATAGCGAGGGGGATGTAAAGTACAGTATAGGAAATGGGAGTAGCTAAAAAATTTACATGCATGACCCACAGACATGAACAAAAGCAGGGGATTGCCTGAGGGAATGGGGGGTGCTCAGTGGAGGGGGGAAAGGGGGAAAATCAGGACAACTCTAATAGCATAATCAATAAAATAAAACTGACACATAAAAGAATATAAAACACCAAACTACTAGTCATATTTATTAAGTAATATACTGGCCCTTCAGTTACAGAGCACTCTGAACGATATTCAATACAGCTTCTTAGAAGCAAATTGAATAAATCAGTGTCTCATACACAAGATACTCAATAAACCTCAGCATTTAACACTTTGGTAAACACATCACAGTCCATACTCAACTATGAATAGGCAAATAGGGTTATTATCCTAGAACAATTTACAAAAAACATTGAGAAGACAGGACACATAAAATTTGCCATGAACTCCTTATTCAGGCAAGATGCCTCTATGCAGATGATAAAGACCACCTGTCAAAGATACTTTCAGTGTTTAGTAACTAATATGGACTAACTCCAAGATCACAGGAAAGGCTGCTTTGTCTGAATCTCAGCAAAACAATTTCTGAGAACTGAGCGTTGTGCTTAAGAGCACGGACTTTGGAGCCAGGTTGCCTGGGTTTGAGTTAGACTTAGCTGTGTGATCAAGTTTCTTAAAATCTCTGTAACCCAGTTCTCTAAACTGTAAATAGGATATATGTATAATGGTACTATCTCACTGGGAATGCTATGCATTAGTATTTGTAAAGAGCTTAAAACAATGCTTGGAACTTTAGCAAATGCTAAATTAGTGTGTGTTTGATAAAGAGGTGACTATACAGATTAAACAGCTAACAGCACAGCATGTTTCTAATGCCCCAAATCGCCACTCTTAGGTCTTCCAAATTTCAGCTACAGCACAATGAATAACTTCTTACAAAATCAAACCCATCTCACTTGACAGCATCCCATCTGTACACAGTAGTCTGTCTTTCTACTCTCTTCCCTAACTTCTACCCTGTGGGAGGTTGCCTGACACAGCTCATGCCCCCAGGGGTAATTTTCAACACAAAATACAGGAGCTAGTGTTGTCAACCTTCAGAAAGGCAATTCTGAGAGGCACTCTGATTGCTTCATGTTCAACAGATCCTCCTGGAAGTGAGTTCCCACTACCTATAGCAGGAACCTCAGTAATACATCCTCACATTGGCTTTCTTTTTTTTCCTCTTTAGATTTGCACAAGCAATGTCCTTTTGGAACATCTGTTTAATACCAAGTAGTTCAATAACTATGCAATAAAATATCCAGCAAAAAGCTCAGGAGATCACTTCCAAAGCTATGCAGCCCCCCACAGATATAGATCAAAGCACCTGAGTAGAGGAAAATAAGAGAAAGACTGTAAAATGGAAAGGCAAAACTTTTGTTTTGAAGAAACTAAAACATTGTTTTAAATCCTCACCCAAGGATATGTTTATTGATTTGAGAGAGAGAAAAGGATTGGGGGGGGAGGAAACATCAATCAGTTGCCTCCTGTGTGCACTCCAAGCAGGAATCAAACGAACCCACAACCTAGGTGTGTGACCTGACCAGGACTCAAACTCGCAAGCTTTTTAGTATATGTGTGGGACAACCCTTCAACCAACTGAACCACCCAGCCAGAGCTAAAATATTCTTGGAAAAACCTCGCTGGCCTTGCAGCCACATCTCCCTCTTGCAAATATTACAGTAAGCAGGGTGAACTTAGGTAATAACAAGATTACTCACTGGTTTCCAAATTCTGATGCTACAAAAAGGAAGCCTGTTTTAAGCACACACATGGCAGCAGCAACTGGCACAGTATCAAAATACTTGAGCCGAATCTCAGTTACCTAAAATGAAAAGAAAAAAGATTCTAGTATGTAGGCGTGAAGCAAAGCTAGGCCATGGAAGTATTTTAAAACAGCGTAAGCAGAGTAGCAAATAAAATACTGCATTTAGTCTTTACCCCCCCTCTAACTATGATCTGCTTACCATATCTTCATCTGTCTCCAAAGTGATCTTGAAGATATCACCCTGCTCAGTTTGGGCCAAAAAGAAGAACATCGATTTGGTCTTATGGGTGGCAGAACAGACAAAAATCATTCCTCTTTCAGGGTCATCCAGGTCATTCTAGCAAAAACAAATATACAACCAACATCTTAGAAATGAGTACTTACACTGGAATTCAGCACCTAACCAACAGCGATTATACAAGCTAACCAAGGCTTCAGGCACCTGGAGCCTCTCTATACAAGCTTTGACCTAGAGCAGCCTGCTAACTATGGAAATAAAAACCTAAAAATTCCTGTCTACTATAAATATAACAAAGTCTGGGTACCAAGAAAAACCAGCCACAATTCCACTCTATAGCCTAATCAGGTCAGTAAGGCAAAAACTACCTCCAGAAAAAAATGTCAGAAAAGAAACACAAACATAATTAAACTTAAAACATAATTATTTCAGGCTGTGGATAAAACTCTTTCAGACCCCCAACACTACCATCCAAACCATGCATCATCAGCCCTGTTCTGCATCAACTTCCTTGATTCCTAAGAGTTATCTCCTTGGCTACGATATTTGGATTTTTTTTGTTTCAAACATTTTGTATTCTCTCTTGGAATAAGCTCTTCAGGGGCAAAACATGTTTTGTACTTCTTTGCAGCCCCAAAACCAAGTACGATGCCTGGCAGTTAGATGTTCAATAAATGATCAACCAAACTAAATTACTTTCTACCCATTACCAAGAATTTAATTTGCTGGATTTCCCCTCAGTTTTCTAAAACTGATGGAATCTTACTCAGATACCATGTGCTAGAGAAAGTGACTCCTAAAAAGTTTAACTCCAGCCCTGGCTGGTGTGGCTCAGTGGACTGAGTGCCAGCCAGCCTGTGAACCAGAAGGTCACCAGCTCAATTCCTAGTCAGGAAGGGCAAATGCCTGGGGTACAGGCCAGGTCCCCAGTAGGGGGCGTGCAAGAGGCATCCCATACACTGATGTTTCTCTCCGTTTTTCTCCCTCCCTTCCCGTCAAAAAATAAAATCTTAAAAAAAAAAGTGTAACTCCAGGATCTACAAATTAATATTAAAAAGAGATCTAATCTGAGGCTGAGAGAAGAGATGACGGAAACCAAGATAACACAAGATTAGCTAGCTATGTGTTGGTAACTACTGAAGCTGGGTACACAGAAGTTAATTAGATTCTACTTTTGTATATACTTAATAATTTTCATAGTAAACTGTTAAAATTAAAAGCAATAAAACACCATTTCAATCATCAAAGTAGTAGCTAATCAAGGGGGAAATCACTGGGTAAAAAGATGTTGAGAAAAAGGTCATTTACACAGTTTCAAAGTTCACCACTAGATTCCACACCAAGAAAAAGGTACCTTTACAATGAGGAGAGGAGACACAACGCAATGTAACAAAATGACTGATTTAGCATCACCAATGAGACACATCAACACTGTGCACCCCTGAATGATCTAGTGGGAAATATGTATCACTACCTACGTAACAGTTCTATCAAAATATTAACCTGAGCCCTGGTTGGTATGGCTCAGTAGTTTGAGTGCCAGCCTGTAAACCAAAGGGTCACTGGTTTGATTGCCAGTAAGGGCACATTCCTGGGTTGCAGGCCAAATCCCCAGTGGGGGGCATGTGAGAGGCAACCACACATTAATGTTTCTCTCCCTGTCTGTCTTCTTCCCTTCCCCTCTCTCTAAAAATAAATAAATAAAATCTTAAAAAAAAAATTAACCTGGATATTATCATGAGGAAAAGATTATAGGATAGACTATAAGAAAATTAACCCAGCCTCTTAAAAAATGTCAGTATCATAAGACCAAAAGAAACAAAAGTGAGAGGAAAATATTCTAAACTAAAGGAGACTAAAAAGTAGATTATAAATGAACTTTTGCGAACAATGAGAAACTGAAATATATGGAAAATAATTGTATTACATGTATTGGTAAGTTTTATGGGCATGACATTAGTAGTTGGGTTATGTACAAAAAGCTCTCATTCTTAGGGCCTAGATTTTAGATTCTCGAAGTGTCATGATGCCTACAACTTATTTTCAAATGGTTTAGCCTCAAAAAGTTTATACGTGCACACGTACACACAGACATCATAAGAAAAGGAAAATGGAGTAAAATTTTAGTAACTGGTAAACTGAAATGAAAGGCATACCAAAATCCACTGTCCTAGTCTTTCAATATTTTCTGTATGTTGGAATGGGGGAAAAAGAAACAGAATGAAACAGGCACATCCAACCCGTGGCCCATGGGCCGCATTATGTCTATGAATGTGGCCCAACACAAAACTGTAAGTTTACTTAAAACATTGATTTTTTTGTGATTACACGTCACAATGTATTTAATGTGTGGCACAGGGACGCCAAAAGGTTGGACATCCCTGACTGAAAGACAATTTATCCCCAACAAACATGCCTGGATTCTTCAAACTAGAAACTTCCATGAATTTCAAACTGATTGTGTCCATAGGTTCGTCTGAAAAGGAAATTGTGTTAGTTTTTAATTCTCTTTCTCCAAGAATCTACTTTGCTTTTACTAACATTATACCAGCTTTATTAAAGATAACATTTATAAAGTAAATAAAATTTGGTAACAGATAAACTAAGACTACACTGTAATTATAAAAATTAAGTTCATTTCACAAACACAATTATCTCTCATGGCAAAAAGACCTTACTCGTCTCCTGGGAATTGGACAGCGGATATCTGGTTGGTCACCAAAGTTCTTGTAGGTGATATAGTTTTCAGAGCAGATCAGCACTCCACTTGGACCATCTGACCCACCCGGAACTGTCAATGAAAATAAAACTTAGCATTAATTGGACATAACCATGAATTACAATTTTGCTTTCAATTCTTTCTTTCCTTTAGCACAACCTGATAAAGGTATAGTATGCTTAAAGCTAAGAAACATTCCAAGTGTTGCTTTTCTCTGAAAGTTATAGTAGACAACAAAAGGAGTCCAGTTTGGATGAGTCAGCCTGTCCAGATATCTGATAATAAATCTAAATTTTTAGTTCCAAGTCCAGAACTCAGTTCTCAGAGTCAGACCTATAATCCAACCACATGGATATTCTACCAGCACCTTCAAAATACAATGTGTTCACAAACTCAAGTTCCTTCCCAAAACCACCTACCTCTTGGATTCCACACCTTAGAAAATACCACCAACAAAAAGACCAAACCAACTCTCTCCCCTTGCAAAGCGCTATTTATTCTACTTCCTTAGCAGCACTCATGCTACTCTTCTCAATTTAGTGAAAACAGGTCCCTGAGCAACCTTAATATACCTCATTCCCATTAGCCAAAATTTAAGTAAGTACAGGCATACTTCCTTTTATTGTGCTTTGCAGATACTGTGTTTTTATCAACATAAAGCAAGACCCTCCACCATAAAAAAATTAACTTGCAAAAGGCTCAGATCATGGTCATTTTGTAGCAAGTTTTTTTTGAGCAATATAGTATTTTTAATTAAGTTATGTACACTGTTTAGACATGCCATTGCATGTTTAATAGACTAAAGCATAGCATAAACAAGACTTTTGTATGCAATGAAAAATACATTTATATGACTCACTGTATTGCATATTTACTTTATTGCAGTGGTCTGGGACTGAACCAGTACTATCTCTGAAGTATGCCTATAACCTTCAGGCTATTATTCCCCTGCTTAGGATCCTTCTGTAGCGACAACTCCACCACTACCTCTACCCCAGACTTAAGCACAATGATCCAACTGCAGTGAGCTTTCAGTTCTTTCCATGAATTATGTTTTCTTACATTCGGGTCTTTCTTATGCTATTCCCTTTGTCCACTGAGAAAATCCTCCTCCACCCACTGTACCTCACTAATTACTAAAGAGTCCTCAGGTCTCAGCTTACAGAACACTTCTCCAAAGTTTCTCCAACAAATTCCCTTCTTTTCCCTGGCTTAGAGACCCCGTCTCTGCACTGTCACGGCACTTGGCAAACTTGACAATTTTTTTTTGTTATACATATTCACCACTAGTTTCAATCCTGCATAAAGGGAGAAACTGCCTCTAATTTTTCATAACTGCAGTCCCAGGATCCAGTAAACTGACATTGCACCTGATTTAGAGACTCAAGAAATATTTGTTGAAAGAATAAAACCTTCCTCATAAATGAAAGGTGTGGTAGTATGTCCAAGTTTCTTCTGCATAATATAGTCTCTTCCTAATATTTAATGCTCAGAGACAAATGGTGTCATATTATCCTTCTCCAAAACCCTCTATCAACAGACATATTTCATGTTAGACATCAACCCAAGTACAAATGGCTCAGAACAGAAAGGACTGAATTACTGTCTTCTTCCAGTCTGCCAAAATTTAATGACCACAAATATAGTTGTCCTCCTTTAGTGTTTTAATTTAAAATGAATTCAACTGATACTGATTTTCTAATGGTGAACATTTTTTAGCCCCTCAAAAATCTTACTTAGCTATGATGCATTTAAAATACTGTTCTGCCCTGACCAGTTTGGCTCAGTTGGTTCAGTAGCACCCGGCAAAGTGAAAGATTGCTGGTTTGATCCCTAGTCAGGACACATGCTTGGGTTGCAGGTTTGGTCCCCAGAAGGTACACATACGAGAAGCAACTGATGTTTTCCTTTCACATCCATTTCTCCCTCCCTCTTTTTCTCCCTTCCTCCTCTCTAAAAATAAATATTGTTTAAAAAAGATTTTTTTTAATTAAAACACCATTTAATTTGATTTGTTAAACTTACAAATTTCTGTATCTATAATCACATGTATACTTTTGTAAACCTGTAAACTTTTATTACTTTCCCTTCTCAGTTTTGACACTGAAGTTTCAGTAGGCTCATAAAGTGGTACATTAGTTTTAATCTTTTTCTAGTCTCTGGAGAAATTTAAGGTCCCTGAAAACTCTGGACCTTAAGTCTTTTCGGGGAAAGAGATTTTTGATTACTGTTCCAATTTCTTTAGTGGAATCTGGTCTATTTAGATTCTTAATTTTTTCTTGGGTCAAATATGTTTTCAAAAGCATTTCTAATTCATCTAAGTTTTTAAATTCATAGACATAGTTTATCTTGCTGAGTTTGTCTATTTCATTTGTCTTTTCAAACACCTACGTTTTGATTTTCTTAATGAAAATGAAAGGCTACAGTCAAAATACCACACTGAACAAGAGCAATCAATATTCCAAGCTAATGTTCTCCTCATTCTTTGTTCTCCGCCTTCATTAGAGGGTGAGTTAACCGTCACATGAACGTCTAACCTTGCCAAAACACAGAAAAGGTGCTCAGGTTTACTATAAATAAATTAGCTTCCAGACCCTATTAAGTAAACACTCCCAAGTTTGGGCATACAATGGACAAGACAAAATGGTACAGAGTAACTCTGAGAAAAAAGTACCTGTAATAAGGAAATTGCCATGTTCCTCCAAAGGCTCACTGTATTTTCGGACCACATGATTTAAACCAAGGTCTAATTCATAGAAAGTAAGCGTCTGCTGGGTATTAGCTGCCGCTTCCCCTGTTGGGTCATTGTCTGCTTCCTACAGAGGAGTACAATGGCACAAAGACTAATCAGTACCATAAAAATCAAACTCTCAGAGCGGGAAAGGACATCTGGATCCTGCCACTTTACAAATGAAGGAGCAGAGATCCACAGATGCCAAATAGTTTGCCAGAGTTCACACTACTAGATAACAGTAAAGTTGGAATAAGAACCCAGGTCTCCTAATTCTGCAATCAAGGCTCTCTTATCTTTTTCTTCTACTCAAGGAAAAAAATGGTATGCTTTACCTTTCACTATCTCCCTGTGGGGAAAAATATCCCAAATACAGTTTTACATCCTTTTTCAGACAGCTTTTCTCAATAAATACCCTAAATAAATAAGTAAATAAGCTTCCACTGGGAATTGTCCGAATCAGATAAAAGTGCTGTTATATAGTCAGGTAAGTTCCGAAACATTCCAAATTTGAGTAAGGCACTTGGAATATGGAAAAAATTTGTTAGCAGCACATTTGTGAGATTCAAACAATGAAACAATGAAACAGGAAAGCTCTGAGGCGGACTGGAAAAATAAAAAGCAGGGAAAGAAACAGACACACACATAATCCCCATTACCTCATAATCCATTTCCAGACAAGCAAACATTGGATTTTCAAATCCCACATCTACGCCAACCACATGATATACTAAAGTGTTCGCTTTGTGGGCCTCTAGGGGAGATGAGATGGTAAGCCGGGCTGCAGCATCTCTGTTCAAGATATACACCAATTTCTGTTTCTCAATGGCACCTGTTGTTGGAGACAAAACACAGAGATCATGAATTGAGAGGTTTAAAGAACAGCTAAATGCTTATCACATTTTTAAAAATCCTTAACAGCCAGTCCAAACTCTACAAGTATACTAACTTAGGATTTGCTTTCTGTTGTTAAAATGGACAACAGCATCATTTCACCCACCTACTTTCTAAGAAAGATCCTACTATCCCAATCACTCTTCAAAATTTTTTAGTGTGCCCTAGATTTAATATTGGGAAACTACACAATTCAGAAAACTGCCATCTTTCTTCTTTCAATTAGGTCTAGTGATTTCGTGACTGGTCAGAGAGGGCTGCCTTCTAGATGCCTGATCAGATAACACAGAATTTTCTTCAAGAGATTTGTCAGAGAAGAGACATGAATGTGCATCATCACTTCAGGCTGATGAAAGCAACCATATTCATTGTCTAATGACGTAAAATCATTTCATTGTAGTCTTTTTGCTTACAGATGAAGAAATAGAAAAACATCTACTTCCAACTATAAAGGAAGTAAATAAAGTGTGGTAAGACTTTCTCCATTGTTTTAAAAGGAAAAGCAACTTTAAACCACGGAGTGAATCCATTTATGTCCCAAACTTTACATAGTTATGATTTATTAGCACACTTCCCAGATCATAGCATTATTATCCTAAATTGAGCATCTAAAATAGTCAGAGAAGCACTCAACAGAGCAAGTCACTCACTAATCATAACAGCTCGCCCTTTAGGATCCACAGCTAAGAACTGGCCAGGAACAATACGGCGGCATCCACTCTTGCCAAAGGTTTCTTGGTGAATTTTCTCAAACATATTCTTAGATGGCTGGTATTCCAGGATAACAATTCGCCCTGAATCACTGCCAACCACAATGTAGTCTTTGGTGCCACCTGTCAGCCTAAAGGCCATGAGAGACCGAATAACACCAAATACTTCCACAGTTAGTAGGGTGTGTACTTTGCCAGTATTGGGATCCGGGCGAAGGAGCTCCAAGATCTTCCCACGAGAAACAACAATTTCCTGTTGTTTGGTTCCTAGATTACCAAAAAATAAAGATCATGAGAAATCAGAACTAATCCAAAAAATAACCTGGATGAATCATGCGACTAAAAGACAGATGTAATTAAATGAAGTGGGGGGGCTCAGTATTTTAAGTTAATTTATTCTATTTGAAAAGGTACTGAACTAAAGTGATCTAACAAAAATGATATCAAATAGACCAGCATGGCTCAGTTGGTTGGGAGTCGTCCTGCAAAAATGGTATCAAATAAAAGTTTCTCAAAAATTGGTTATTCAAATTACTTTCTTAGAAACTTTTCTTCTTATTTTGCTAATATTTGCCATCAATCTACATAACTGAGCACTGCCCATAAATGGTGTTAATGTGTGCTTAGCAGCGTAAGATCAAAAATCTCCAAGGGTTCTCTCTAATCTGCTTTTAAGGCTATTGTTGTTAGAAATCGTATTAACATTTTATGCAGTTTAATGTAGTGTCTCAAAGAACTTTTAAAGCTATCATCTAATATACAGTTTATTTCTAAACTGACACCTAAATAAAGCACTTGTTTTCTTAACTGTAATTGATACCTCCAAATGCACAATAATCAACTTGTCCCCATGTATATAACTCTACCTGGATAAGCTGTCATCAATTTTAAAATAAATGTTTAAAATAATTAAGTTCCTCCTTGCCCTAACTCCCACTTTGGTCTCAACTAACCTATCAATATTACTATGATTTTCTCTGCCATCTAGGCTATAAACTCATATACTTCACTTTCTTTCTACCCAACTGTCAGGTCTTCACTATCTTAATGACTTCCTATCCTACCTTATATCCCACTCTTACCCATCCCAATCTAGTCTCATTTGCTGAATGCCACCACTTACCAGGCCACCTTACTTGCCAAAGGTCATTTGAATATTAGATAAGACTCTAAAGTGCTTTGGAAGGTTTATAAAGCATTATAAAAATTAGTGTTCTCTAATGATTAAAATTTTCTCTGAAATTTTCAGATTTTTGAATTTGAAAAATATGAATCATAAAACTATAAATATTTAAAATGTTATATTCAGCCCTGGCTGGTGTAGCTCAGTTGGTTGGGCATCATCCAGCAAAGTGATGGGTCACTGGTTCAATTCCCAAGTAGGAAACATGCCTGGGTTAAGGGTTCAGTCTCCAGTCAGGGTGTGTACAAGAGCAACCAATCGATGTTTCTCATGTCGCTGTTTTTCTCCCTCTTTTTCCCTCCCTTCCCCCTCTCTAAAAATAAATATATAAAATCTTTTTTTTTAAAGTTGTATTTGGAAAGATAGTAACTGGACAACTTACCAGAGAAGTTGCCATGAATGGCAAAGCTGATACCCGTGGCTCGCTGCAGGGTCAGGTTGTACAGGAACATTGTGGCAAAACTGAGCCACCTACCACTCCACAATCCAAGTGCTGCTTATACCAAGTCAAAGCAAGCTAGGAATACGAAAAAGCAGAAAAATATCAGCTTGGAAATTGCTGTTTCAATGGACATTTCTGTACAGGAATTTCTAGCTTAAGGCAGCAGATACAGTAGAGTAAGACTTATGAAATATAACATTTATAATTAGAGTGCCTTCTAAATGCCAAGACTATATATACTTTGGCTCTAATCTCACAAGAAACCTATAAAGTAGTTAATATTAAAACTTGTTTTATAGATGAAGAAATTAAGGCTAAGAAATTAAATCACATGTCTGAAGTCACATAATAGGTGGTAACAATTCTGGGAGCCAGGATATGGACCATTAATGCAATACTGTGCATTTGTTTTGTCATATAAGCTAAGTAGGTCTGTCTGTACTTGTATCTGAATAGGCTATGTGTTCACAAGGTTCGGAATTCAAAAGCACAGCAAAAAGCTCTATTATCCTGTCCTTCAAGATATTTTCTGTATGGATAGGCAAAAATGTACATTAATACTGCATTTTATCTTTTTTTAATGTAAAGGCTGGGTACTATGTATTGTACACCACGTTACACTGCAATTTATTTATTTTATCTAGCTTGGAGATAGCAATGAAGAGCTCTCATTTTTATTTTACAGCTGCAGAGCATTCCACTGAATGGATATATTAGAATTCATTTTGTCAATACTCTGATGAACATTTATGTTGTTCCCAATCTCTAATTATTATGAACACTGCTGCAAAGAAAATCACTCATATATACATCATTTATACACACATGGCTCTATCTCCACAATTCATAAGTGTAACTGCTGGATTGAGGGATTCATACAACTGAAATTCCGATAAATAGCGCCAACTTACCTTTCAAAGAAACTCAATTTACATCCCCAACAGTGTAAGAGTCCCTATTTCACCACAACCAGACCTCTGCTCATCTAACAGATAAAAATTGGTAACTGAGTGCAGTTCTCATTTGCATTTCTTCTGTAGCTCTATATCTGAGTGCTTAGAATTTAAAATTTATACCTACTTACCATTAAAAACTAGAAAAAAACTGAATTCTTGCCCGTTCAGAAGGCCCCCCCGCAAAGGATTAGTCACAAACACAAACTTAACCTATACCATAAAAGAATTACCACAAACTACACCTATATACAGTTATTGCTGGAAAATAAACTCAGTTATTTTACCTCAATTATTTAAGAGACAAAGCAAAGGAACTTGAAAAATCCAAGCAAGCACTGTGTGATTAACATACAAATCTGGTTTCGAGTGAAGAAATGTTTAATACATAATAATTATTTCTGGGCAGGATGACTGAAAGATCAATCCTCCAGGTTGGGAATGGATATGAACTTTCCTACTTGAAGGTAAGGAACGTCTTTAATGCTCTTCTAGGACAACGAGAAGGAGAGGAGGTCTGAGATGAAACAAGGGAGAGAGGGAAATGACCTACAAGAAAAAAAGAAAACAGGCCCTGGCCAGGTAGCTCAATTGGTTAAAGTGTCATCCCCATTATGCCAACGTTGCAGGTTTGATCCCCGGTCAGAGCACATACAAGAATCAACCAATGAACGTATAAGTAAGTGGAACAACAAAGTGATGTTTCTCATTCTTTCTCTCCCATCCTCTCTCTCTCTCTCAAATCAAACAATAAAAATTAAAAAATAAGAAAAGAGAGAGAGAAAGAGAAAACACACAACCAGAGACATGGTCTCATACACACAGAAAAGTGCTTCGACACTGGGCAAGTTCCAGGGAAAGCTGTGCTCAGCTTAAAGTTGGGGGGCAAAAAACAGAATATGTTAACTGCTCTCAATTGAAAAGCAGCAAACATAATTCTTAAACACACTTAAATATCTGTACTCTGGCATCTTGCTCTGGTTTAAAATTTCAAACGTAATTTCAAAGTTGCAGGTACCAACAACACAATTTAAAATGAAACCCCGATCACGTTGTTAACCTAATCCATGCTTTAAGATTAACTATTGGGCTGGCCAAAAAGTTCACATTGTTTTTTTCCCATAAAATAAAAGGCACATTTTTTGTTTTCACCAATAACTTTATTGATTTGGATGTTTGAAGTATGTCGGCTATCCACAGCTACTGGCTTCTAGTGGGTAGAGACCAGGGGTGCTGCTAACCATCTTCCAAGCAGAAGACAGCCCAGCCCCACGGCAAAGAATTATCTGGCCAAAATATCAATAGCACAAGAAACTTCGCAAACCATTTTTGACACATTTGATCAGTCACAGCAAGCTCTCCACACTGCACAAAACATCTTTTTGCATTTCAGTTGCATTTTTACCTTTCTTGAAATAATAAAGCATAACATGCTGAAAATTGTTAATATTAAAATGGCTGCACAAATACTCACCAATTTTGCCGTTTAATGCACACTAATATGACAAAATGTCATAACAAAACCTAACAAAATTGTTTCAAATGAAGTTAAAGGCAACTAAGCACCACTAGAGCTATCTTACAGAAAAAACGTTACCGGACTCTTTGGCCAACCCAATATATTAAAGGTAAAGAACTGTTTTGTTTTGTTTTAAGGCAGAGGAAAACACTGGCCACTTCTGAACCCTTGAAAAGCTCCCTCCAGGCTACTCTTCATTCTTTACAGCTGAAGAACTCGGCCTACTTTTAAGTTCCTTTGTGACTGATGTCATCCATTCCCAACCTTGGAATTCATTTTCCCCAAGCCCAGGTGAATCCAAATTCCCCAACTATTCTTTTAGCTTGGGGAATGGAGGAATTATGCATTTCAGGAAAAGATAAGCCTAAAACTATAAGAACTATGCACCAGGAACCATCAACGGCCAAAACCTGGTAAATTTTGACTTCTCTCACTTCTCTTTCCTGTCTGTGATTACTAGAAAAATAGCCTGCGATTGTTCACTCCATTCCTTCTCTTGTGCCAAATGAAGATTATTGTATACTCTGCAAAATCTTCAAGGAACAATTATTGACCATTTTGCTAATGACAAAACTGAGGATCAGAGGAGGAAAATAAGTTGACCAAATACCAAAACGCAAATTCAAAACAGGGTCTTAGCTTCAAAGACTGTTTCCGTTATTTACGCTTCTAACACACTGGGTTTTTCCACCTTCGCGTCCCTGTGTTGTTTACTCTCTCCAAGAGACTTCTCCCAAGTCCAAAGAGGCCCCACGACCTAAATAAAAACTAGGCAACCCCTAAAGGCTTATTTTAAGCCACGTCTCCTTCCCACCTTGTAGACAGAAACAGGGAATAAATCCCCCGTAGCCGTTTACACGCCCTAAGCGTTCTCGTCGACCTCTCCGTCTCCTGGCCGAACCTCAGGCCTCGGCTGCCTCAAAGACGCCCCAGCAAAACCTCAGTGCACTCGCAGATGGCCGTTGTAGGCCTCTGTGGGCCAGAGTAAGTCGGAAGACCGCTTCTTTACCCTGCAGCCGGCAGGATGCTGTAGATATCCAAAGGATGAAGAGTTCCTCCACAGGCTAAGCCACCGCCAACACCAAACCGCCGGCAACAGCCATCAGATCGCAAAATAGGGACCTAACGATTGGCGCGTGGCGGAAAAAGGCCCCAACCGGCGCCCAAAGAATGTACATATAATTTTTTAATGCATCGGTGTCACAGCCACCCCGCATTGAAAATTTTCCAAATATGCCTAATGACCGTCACTTTTCTAGAAGAATAGAAAATTAGTAGGCTTTTTAAAGTATACATTTAAATATTGAGTTCATCGGGCATTTCCGTGGGCAGCCCCACACACCCGCGCGGCAACGAGGAGGGGTCCTCGCGGGGCCGGAAACACGGATGAGAACCAAGATGGCGGACTTCAATTCCCCTCAAAAGCTGCTACGGGTGTCCCCGCCGCCTGAGGGAGTGGGAGGAGGTCGCTGCTCTGAAATCTCCACCGAGTTCATTCGCTCCCTGAGCGAGCTGCAAGAGCTGGAGGCTGTGTACGAACGGCTCTGCGGCGAGGAGGTGGGAGGGCTGAGCCTTTTTCCAAAGGCATCCAAGGGCAGTGGGCTTAGGAGCCGCCAGCCGGGAAATCCGGGCTGTGGGAAGCTCTCCGAGCCGAGAGAAACAAGCAGCTACTCGAGAAGCAGGGGTGTAGTTGGGGAGTGTGGTTCTTGGGACCTGCCATCTCTCTTCACTCTGTATGATCCTTTCAAGCTTGTTTTCCCTCTTACTTAGGCGATCCTTCCCCGCCCCCCCACATTGGTTTCTCTTAACGAGTTGGTGTCTCTGGTTCTCAGCGCGAGTAAAGTTAGATTGAGAATATAAACTGTTTCTCCTGGTTCCCCAATTAAGAATAAAGGCTCTCTTGCATTAGTGTAACAGTTTAAAAACTGAAATGCTTTCACCCCGTTATCTCATTTAAGCCAGCAGTCATTGTAAATAAAGGTGAAGGATTTTAAAACTTCCTCTTGTAGGGAATGATTTGGGGGTATAATTTTGGAGATTCGGTTAAATGCAGAGCTTTGCAGAAGCTTGAGGTTTTAAGACTCAGACTCAACTGTCTAATCTGGGACCAGTCACTTCAGCTCTTGTACTTGACGTAGTGTCAGACGAGGGGGCGTGGACTCTATTGTCAAGGATTCCTTTCAGCTCCTAGCGTTTTACCTTTCTGCCTCCTTCACTTTTCTGTGGCAACCCGATGCTGTCGATACGTTTTTAAATGTCAGTGGAGTTCCCTGCTAGTCAAAGAGATTTAAGCCCTCGTCTAGAAGTTTAGTAGCTTTTTCCTAAAACCAAACGTTTAAATAAGGATGGGCAGAAAAGGCAGTTTCTACTTGCGGGAGCGGGGTGGGGGCAATCATTGACATCTTTGAATATTTTCAAGTATTAACTTGCACCAGCTCTAGCAGTTTCTGATAACGTTTTTCAGCAAGATGTGCTTTGTAACATTCAGTACTCTTGACTGAATATTCCTAAACTTGCATTCATTGAGTTATCGATCGATACTTGGAGTAAAATTAAGCCAATCTTACAGAACAGTATCCTGTATATGTATTTGAAAACTGTCAAGGGAAGTTTCCATCTGGATCCTACTGGACTATTTTAATAGAAATGTATAGTTAATATTAATGGTTGTTATCGAACCATAAGTCACATACTTACTATGTTAATATGTTAAGCACTTTATGTTTGTTATCTTGTTTGGCTCACACAACAGTCCTATGGGGTGTCTATTACTATCCCCATTTTACAGGTGGAAAAACCCAAGCATAAGAAGGTTACATTAATTGAGATAATACAGTAAATGGCTTGGCTGAGAGAGAATTATGCACTATGGAGAGACTTTTTATAACTACCACTGTGAAGGTTTTATTTGTTTAAGCCATTATATTTTAAAAGCATTCCAGTGTTAGGCACTGTGCTAACAATACTGAATAAAGGTTTATTTTCTCCCTTTGTGGTGTTCATCTGCTAGGTGAAAAAAGATACACATGATAATCATCATGCAGTGTGGAAAGTGCAAAAATTAAGATGTTTGTTAATGTCCTGAGGGAGCTTGGTGGAAGGAAAGAATACACTTGATATGGCATTCACCCTTCAGTTAAGTGGTTGGGTTGGATAGCTCTTAGGGTTCCTCTGACCATTCTGATGACAGCACGTTTCTGTGTGTTTCAGAAAGTGGTGGAAAGAGAGCTGGATGCACTGTTGGAACAGCAAAACACCATTGAAAGTAAAATGGTCACTCTCCATCGAATGGGGTGAGTCTGTTCGTTTCAGCAAGAAGTATTGTAAATTGCAACACTGTCTACTGGATAAGTTATTTTTCCTAACTTTCTGTTATGAAATGCCATTTGAGTGTGAAATGTAGAGACGCATTACCTCAACATAAAGTGGACACCTAAGGGGACAGTTAAGTGATTTTTCAAAGTGACCTTGACCAGCAGTACCAACATTACCAACACTGCTTGGAAACTTACTAAAAATGCAAATTATAGGGCGCCACCACAAACCCACTGAAGCAGAAATTCTGGGAATGGTTCTCAGGAATCTGTATTTTTAACAAGCATACCAACAGGTTCTGGTGCATGGCTCAAGTTTAAGAACCACTGCTTTTACAAATTTTGTGTATTTGCTAGTCATAAAAATTGCTCTGTGATCTCATCATCTCAGATAGTTAGTGCATTTTATGCTCATTTAACAATTGGGAGCAAAGAAAACAATTCGGAGAATCAGTTTTCTAATTTTTTGGCAGTAACTATTTAGCAGTGTTTTTAGTAGTTATAGAAATTCATTTTTCATTAAGCATAGGCCTGAGTTTCCAGTAAAACACTCTTGGGGAAGAAAAACTTTTTGTTTTTTAAGATTTTATTTATTTATTTTTTAGAGAGAGGGGAAGGGAGGGAGAAGGAGAGGGAGAGAAACGTCAGTGTGTGATCGCCTCCCACACATCACCCATCAGGGACCCAGCCTGCAACCCAGGCACATAACCCAACTGGAACCAAACCAGCAACACCCTGGTTTTTAGGCCAGCACTCAGTTCACTGAACCACACCAGCCAGGGTAGAAAAGCTGTTAATAGAATGAGTTAAACTAAGAATTTGGGGAGGTGCAAAAGAAGTAGAAGACATAGCCTCCGTCTGCAAAAACATTTCCATCTCTTACTCCTACCCTCTGCCACTGTGGATATATGTGTGCTGACAATGTGTATCTCTAGTCCGAACCTGCAGTTGATTGAAGGTGATGCAAAGCAGCTAGCTGGAATGATCACCTTTACCTGCAGCCTAGCTGAGAATGTGTCCAGCAAAGTTCGTCAGCTTGACCTGGCCAAGGTAATCCCATTTTGGTGTTGATGTTTGAGTTAATAGAGGGCAATAGAAAAGCCACCACGTTAGAAATTAGAGCAGCAACATCCAATAGAAATCTAACACAAGATACCAAAACCAAACAAAGATACCGTAAGAAACTTTAGACCAATTGCTGTTATTATCATAAACATAGAAATTTTCAGCAACACTAACAAACCGAATCCAGCAGCATATAAAAAGGACTGTACTATGAGCAAGTGGAATTTATCACAGGAATGCAGAGTTGGTTTCACATATGAAAATTAATCTAATATACCATGTCAGTAGAATAAAGGACAAAAACCATGTGGTCATCTTGTATACTCAAAAAAAGTATTTTACAAAATTTAATACCCCTTATAAGAACACTCAACAAACTTGGCATAGAAAGTAACTTCTTTAACCTGATAAAGGACATCTATGAAAAACCCACAGATGACATCATAGTTACTGGTAAATGGCTGGTTGCTTTACCACTGACGTAAGGAACAAAACAAGGATGTCAGTTCTTGCTGCTGGTTTCCACCATCATCCTGGGAGGTTCTGGCCAGGACAGTTAGGCAAGAAAATGAAATAAAAATCATTCAGATTGGAAGACACTTAATACCAACAACAAATGTACTTTAAATTTTCTGGTAGCCATTTTTTAAAAAGTAAAATACGTGAAAATAATTTTTAAAACATGGTTTATTTAACTCTATCTCAAAGATATCATTTAAATACATAATTACTATAAATTGTATTACTGAGATATTTCATTTTCATTTTTATATTAAATCTTTGAAATCCAGTGTGTATTTTATGCATACACACCTTAACTTGGACTAGACACATTTCAAGTTCTCAGTAGCCACATGTGGTTAGTGGCTGCCATATTGAACAGAATAGCACAAAATCTGGGCTCTTGAACAAGTCACTCCCAGCCTTGGTTTGCCCTGTGAAACAGCATAACTTTTCCAGATCTATTTGTTCAGATTCTGCAAAAATAACAACAAAACTAAGCCACGCAGCCACCATCTCATGTATTAAAGGTTACTTTTAAACATTCTTGCTTATTATAAAAGAAAAGTACTTTCCACATATTTCATTTACCTTATAACTTGGTTTACAACGCCACATTTCCAAAACTGTCAAATACAGGCGCTCTCCCCCTTGGGAGCATGCCTGCTCCTTTCCCATCCCCCTCTTCCTCCCCACTCCAGGTGCATTACCTTACAGTTCTCTCCTAAGCTCCAAGGGCCTTCCCCCTTTTTTTTAAGATTTTTTGTGTATTTAAGAGAGGGAGAGAAACATCAATATGTGGTTGCATTTTGTGCTCGCACTGCTGGGGACCTGGCCTGCAACCCAGGCATGTGCCCTACACTGGGAATCACACTGGTAACCTTTTGGTTCACAGGCCAGCGTTTAATCCACTGAGCCACACCAGCTAGGGCTAAGGGCCCCCTTCTTTTGCCTCTGTAACTTGTTTTCTGAGCCCATTTCTTCTACCTCTGTGACTTCTAAGTAAACTTTTCCTACATTTTGAGCCTTGACTCTGAATTCTTTCTCAACCAGAACTCAAAACAAAGAAAAATGTTTATAAACAAAATGTCAAATACTTTCTGACTCTATTGTAAATTTAACAATATAAACTAAATATAAATATAGATAATCCCTGTTCTTTCATTAGTTGAATGATCTGTCTGGTCATGTAAATTAAATTGCATGATACTTGACCACTTGTTAGTGGTCTTGGTCATTAGCAACAACAGTTTTGTGAGTGGTAGTGTTTTTTAGTTCACCAGTGAGGGCTGGAAAGGACACATGGTTAACCTGAATCTCCCTACCTTCTGAAGAGATGTTTTTGAAAAAGTAGGACATTATTTTTGAGCACCAAGTCTTTTTGCAGAACCGCCTCTATCAAGCCATTCAGAGAGCTGATGATATCTTGGACCTGAAGTTCTGCATGGATGGCGTTCAGACTGCTTTGAGGAATGAAGATTATGAGCAGGCTGCGGCCCACATTCATCGCTACTTGTGCCTGGACAAGTCAGTCATTGAGCTCAGCCGGCAGGGCAAAGAAGGTCAGCATCCCAAACGGTTGATTTCTAGTTAAGCTATGAGCATCTGTAATCTGAAGTAGGCACACTCAACGAGGAGAAGGGCATTCGTGGGGTTTGTTTTTTAAGAAAAATTTTATTTATTTTTAGAGAGAGGGAAAGAGAGGGAAAGGGAAAGAAACATTAATCTGTTGTCTCTCATATGTATCCTGTTAAGGTACCAAAGCCATAACCCAGGCATGTGCCCTGACCAGGAATTGAACCAGCAGCCTTTCGCTTTGCTGGGCAATGCCCAACCAACTGAGGCACACTGGTCAGGGTGAGAAGGGCATTTGTTGTTAGGAAATGTCTTTGTCTGGCAGTAAACCCTATATGGGGCCAAAACCATCCCAAGGCAGTGTTGCTATTCCTAGTTTATGGAAAGGGCAACTGAGTCCAGATGTACTGCTTTCTGGCTAGAGGCTTCTTTCCACTTGCTCATGTTGCCTACTTAAAAAATTAAATTCTTCATCTTGTAATCTGGGCCTTCCATAATATCAACTCACCCTTTTTAGCATTGTTTATTTTGAGCTCTATTTCATGCTGTTCACTCATACATCTATTCATTGCGCAAATATTTACTGAGCTCCAAGTGCCAGGGCATATATAGTAGATCCTTGAACAGTATGGAGGTTAGGGGTGCCAACCTTCCACACAGTTCAAACTCATGTAACTATAGTACTACTTAAAATATTGTACAAATACTCTTTGTCTTTCTGGTTATATTCTTTTGCTTATTTCATTCCCTTTGCCTGAAATGTGTATTCCTCCTGTTCAGGTATCAAAATCCTGCCTATCCTTTTTTTTTTTAAGATTGTATTTATTTATTTTTAAAGAGAGGGGAAGGAAGGGAGAAATAGAAGGAGAGAAACATCAATGTGCGAGAGAAGCATTGATCAGTTGCCTCTTGCACGCCCCCAGCCAGGAACCTGACACTCATCCAGGTACCTGGCCCACAACCCAAGCACGTGCCCTGACCGGGAATTGAACCAGCAATTTGGTTTGCAGGCTGGTGCTCAATCCACTGAGCCACAATAGCCAGGGCTCAAAATCCTGCCCACCTTTGAAAGATAGGATGTCACCTTTAGGAAGGCTTTTGTGATTACTTCAACCAGAAATGTGACTTGTGGGTACCTTTATTATGATATCTATCATATACTGAATTTTATTATAGCTATTTGTGCACAAAGCTTCTCTCTCACTCAGTTATAACTTCTGTGAAGATAGGATTATGGCTGATTAATCTTCTAATCATTAATGTTGCTAGTACAGTATCTTATACACAGTAAATGCTTAATACATATATTTTTGAATGAAAAGTGGTGCACAGACTAAGTGGCATTAATTTTCACTTTCTCCCCGTTGCACAGGGAGCATGATCGATGCCAACCTGAAATTGCTGCAAGAAGCTGAACAGCGTCTCAAAGCCATTGTAACAGAGAAGTTTGCTATTGCCACTAAGGAAGGCGATCTGCCCCAGGTGGAGCGCTTCTTCAAGATATTTCCTCTACTGGGTTTGCATGAGGATGGATTAAGCAAGTTCTCAGAATACCTTTGCAAGCAGGTATGGCTCCTGATTGCTTGGCAGGATAATGGTATGGGTCTCTGCCTACAGATTGAAGCACTGAGTAGATCCAGTGTCTGTGGATACATTCTTGCCTCTGGATTTGACTCCCCTCTTCTGCTCTTGCTCTAGCTTTGCAGGACTGGATGCATACATTCATTCAACATTTATTTGTTGCCAGTCTACTGTGTACCACGCATGGCCTAGACATGTGCTGGTGCAAATTTATTTCCAACAGACCAAGTAAATGTAAAGGAAAATTAAAATGCAAATTATCTGACAAGTTGACTTACCCTTCTCAAGTATCTTCCAGGATCTGGGTTCTTTTAAAAGCATTCAGAGATGTTGGTTAGTGGTTTTAAGACTTCATAACCAGAACTGATTCTCAAAATAAGCGACAGTGACATGAAGCAGGTTAGGTCACTTGAGGTTAAATTCTGAAAAAGAAGCAGGTTTCAGTTAAAGTCTCAGCTCTCTTCCCCCACCCCAGGTGGAGAGAAGCAAATCCCAGAAGACATATGTACAGAAGGTTGTCATATTTTTAAACTGTATGTCAGCGTGCATCCTGACCCTCCCCCTTAAATTTTCTGTAATGGAACACTAATCTGCCATTAAGAAAAATAAGATAGTTCCATATGTGCTGACAGATTTCACTCCATAAAGTATGTGGTTTGTTAAGTTAAACAACAGTATACCACCATTCCTGTTTAAAATGAAGGGCTTGGCAATAAAAATGTATGCTTGTATAGGCATGGGAAATTTTTGGAAGGGTTAACAGGAATCACCTCTAAAAAATGAGAATTGAGAAACCAAGAGACATAGGTAAGAGAAACACTTTTCACCAAATACTCCATTCCTCTGGACCATTTAAGTGTTTGTGTTTTACCCATTCTATAAAAATAATTAATTAAAAAGAAAATATAGCTGCTTTATGGTACTTTTTTAAAATCAGTACTTTGCCATCTGGGACCCCAAAATGGCTTCTACTTTTAATCCTTCAAAAGCCCCTTTAGCAGCATCCAGATTCCTTGTCCTGATTATAATAAAATACCATTAATGATAACTTCAAATTACACTCCAACACGATTATTGAAATTGGGGGCTCTCTCCCTTGGCTAGTAGAAGTACATATTTTCAAAGAGAAGAAAAGCATTATTTATACCTCTGAGTGGCAGAAGAGTTACTGCCACTCTGTTTGAGTTCCTTGTCTTGCCTTAGGCTTAGACAGCCCAAAGTTTTCAAGGGAAGTTCCTCTGTGCTGCCTAAGCTTTCAGTCATTGGGAAATACAGGAAAGGAAAGGTAACGGGAAATCTTTTTAGAAAACTGAGGTTAGCCTTTGGTCTGAGAAATATATGTGGATTTTTTTTTTCAGGTGGCCAGTAAAGCTGAGGAGAATCTGCTGTTGGTATTAGGGACAGATATGAGTGATCGAAGAGCTGCAATCATCTTTGCAGATACGCTCACTCTCTTGTTTGAAGGCAAGTCTTTTTCTCCACTCTAGGGAGACTTCAGACATTATCCTATCTAACACCTGCTTCCTACCTTTTCTTCTTTCCCTACTAGCCTGATGCCTTTAAGTTAATCCTGTAATTTACTGTATAGTGGTTTACTGGAGAATTACTTGCAGCACTGACAAGACCATTTGTACTTATTTTGGAAGGTGAAACAATCAAAAAAGGTTGAGTTAGACCCTGGGTCAGCCTTGGCTGGAAGAAAGGAGTGTATTTTGTGGGAAGAATATTTCTAATTAAACCCTCTCATTTCCTTCTATCTAGGAATTGCCCGCATTGTGGAAACACACCAACCAATAGTGGAGACCTATTATGGACCAGGAAGACTTTATACCCTGATAAAGTATCTGCAGGTAGAATGTGACAGGCAGGTGGAGAAAGTGGTAGACAAGTTCATCAAGCAGAGGAACTACCACCAGCAGGTGAGCAGGGGAAGCTACAGGTGGTTTTGAAGCAGTGTTAACCAGGGACACCGAATGGAACAAACTGGAGGGAAAAGAGAACAAAGATGCAGACAAAAGAAAAATAAATGCCAAATGCAAACTGGCCTGCATCTTGCCCATCAGGACTTGAGGTGCTGTCAGGATGACGATGGCCTCAGTACAGGATTGAGAAGCAGCTGGAAAGGTCTTCCTGAAAGGAACACAACAGATACATTAAACCATTTCTTTATCACAGAATGTACAACTGTGCTTTCTGGTGATACAATGAGAATTTTGTTTGTGAAGACCCTGTTAAGTGCCAGGTAATACATCTCATATATCTCCTTAGTTCCCTTCAGTACTAAAAGTAACATTTGCTTTTTCAGAACTCTATTTCTCCATACCTTTGAGCAGAGAAAATAAACAGCACGAAGTAAAAATAGAAGTCCCATAGAATCTAGACAGTAGTCCATTGGAACACCATTAGCATCACTTTATAGATTTTATTTACTTTTAGAGAAGGGGAAGGGAGGGAGAAAGAGAGGGAGTGAAACATCAGTGTGCAAGAGATATATCCATCAGGTGCCTCTTGCACTCCCCCAGCTGGGGGCCTGACCCTCAACCCAGGCATGTGCCCTGTGATCTTTTGGTTCACAAGCCAGTGCTCAGTCCTCTGAGCCACACCAGCTAGGGCATCATTAGCATCACTTTAGATGCAATAATAGAGGTGAGCATTACCATCTAAATCAAAAGTAAATCTTTGGCTCCTCATCCTGAGAGCCTACTTTCAGTTTTCTGTTAAGCAGACAAAACCTAAACATTCTTGTCTGCCAAAAGTTTGGAGTGTCCAAAAAAGGCAGATAGAGGAGGGTGGGGAAGACCACTCTCATTTTTGATGTTTTGCAGTTCCGGCATGTCCAGAGCAACTTGAGAAATTCTGCCACGGAAAAAATAGAACCAAGGTAATAATTCTCTTCTCTTCAGCCCATAGGTGTTTGAATCGGCAATTATGTATCATTCAGAGACTACTCTGTTACAGTGTGGTCTGTTTTAAAAATAATTTATCTATGACTCTTGGCTTTCTTTAATGGAATATATCATACAAACACACACCCCCCCCACACACACACCCCACAACCCCACCATGTGGTTTGTAAAGAATACTAGATCATTACCAATACTTTTGAAGTCCCCAAAGTGGGTCTCCTCCTCTACCTCCCCAAAAGGTGACTACTATCATTTTAATTTTATTGGAGAATTAAATTTTACTGGTTTATTGGAGAATTAACTTCCCAATTCAATATCAGATTAGCAGAGATTAGTCTGAACCTCCTTAGCCCTCAAAACCAAACTCTTAAGAATAAATTTAACCATAAAATACATTACTGGGAAGAGAGTGATGCTGAGTTTTAAAGATGTTCCTATAGAAACTACCAATATAACTTAGAAAAGGCTTGCTGGTATACCAGGCACAGAGCATCTTTAACAGTTTTGCTTAGCAGCTTCTGGCACTAACCAAATTAATTTTCCTTAGCAACTTCGGCCCTAACTAAAATTAATTTTAATTAATTTTTTTAATTTTAAATTTTAAGCTATTAATTTTTCTTTTTTTCTTTTTTTTCTTTCTTTATTTTTAAATACATTTGTCTCTGCCTCCCCCCCACCACTTTCCCTTGCCCCCTCCCTCTAATTTTTCTAATAAAAATAATATATGCTTGTTGAAAGAAAATCCAAACATTATAAAAATGTATTTATTCAATCAGCAAATTTTTACTGAGTATACATTACATGGCAGGCATTGGCCCTTGGCACTGGGAATATGGCAGCAAGCAGAATGAGCAAAACAAACCTAATTCTTTGTAGTATCTCTGGCCTTTAATATTTACTATATGCCAGACATTCTTCTAAGCACTTAAATATTAAATTACTTCATCCAGGCTTTCTCAGCCTCTGAACTATTGGCATATGGGCTGGTAATTCTTTGTTATGGAGAACTATGCTGTGCACTGTAGGATATTGAGCATCCCTGACCTTTACCCACTAGATGCTGGTAACACCCTTCAGTCATGACAATCAAAAATGTCTCCAGGCACTGCCAAATTTTCCCTGAGGGGTAAAATCACTCTCAGCTGAGGATCACTGATTTAATCCGTAAGCATTTTTTACTAATGAGGAAGCCAAGGCCTAAAGAGGTTCAGTGACTTACCCAAGGTCATACAGCTAGAAAGTGGCAGAGCCAAGAAAAGAATCCAAGCAGGCTGATTCTGAAGTTCATGCTGTTAACCACTATGATATGCTAAGGGTACAGGACAACATGTAATAAAGGGATATAACCTATGCTGATGATGTCCAAGGAAAAATTCCTGAGGAAATGACCTTAAATCAGAGACCATAAGAGTAGAAGGTAGGAGTAAGAGGTAGAGTGTTCCAGGTAGAGCAGGGAAAGTGTGTGCAAAAGGCCTTGTGTTAAAAAAATGAAAGAAGGCCAGTGTAGTTGAAGTTCAGAGAGTTGGGGAGAACCTGATAAGAGGTAAAGCTGAAGAGGTTATTAGAGTAAGGCCATTCCAGGTCTGGTATCCTAAGAGCTGTGGAAATCTTGATTATGATATGACCAGATTTATGTTTTGAAAAAGTCTCTTGGAGTCCAGTGTGGAAAACGTGTCAATTTGTGTGTATAAAAAGAAGTAGAGGTTCAACATTTTTTTTTTTAATATACAAAACAGTTATCCTAGCACATTTTGTTGAAAAGACTATTCCTTTCCTACTGAGTTGTCTTAACACTCTCCTTGGAAATCAGTTGCCCATAAATGTGAAGATTTCTGGACTCTCAATTAATCTATAGATCTATCCTTATGTCAGTGCCACACTGTCTCGATTGTTGTAGTTTCAAAATTGGGAAGTGTGAGTCCTCCAACTTAGTTTTTTGTTGTTTTTGTTTTGTTTTGTGTTTTTAGAATGTTTTGGCTATGGATGGGTGTGAGACAGTTTAATGATTTGTTCCCAAAATCTCATCACAGCTAAATAGGAGTTTGGAGAGGTGTGTTTTCTTTCACATGACACATAGATAATTTTTACTCAAACTGCTAACAAAAACACACCTCTCAATCTCTTATTTAGCCCTGGCAGGATTTGAGAAGGTGAGTGATTTGGATAAAGCATGTAAGTGGAATATGTGGTTGACAGCTGTCTCTGATTATAATGGGGTCAGCAGAGCCAGGATGACCATTTGGCAGAGACCCTCTGGTCCCAGTGGCGAGGGGGTGTTTGGGACGATGCCTTTGTCTGAGGGAATCCAGTGTTTTCCTGCTCATTTTTCCTGCTCTGTGTGTCTCAGGGAACTGGACCCCATCTTAACTGAGGTCACCTTGATGAATGCCCGCAGTGAGTTGTACTTAAGCTTCCTCAGGAAGAGGATCAGCTCTGATTTTGAAGTGGGAGACTCCATGGCCTCAGAAGAAGTAAAGCAAGGTAAAAGGCATTTCCCATGTTCTCTGGGAGGGCTGGGGTATGGTTTGCACTGTTGTTTCATAGTTAATAAGAAAATAACAGGGGCTTTTTAGCACCTGGGGGAGGGTATCTATGGGCAAATTGACTCCCAGGAGAAAATCTAGACTGAACCGAATTTAAGAATTGGACTGGGCCTTTGAAGCCATCTAAGAATTTACAATGGAGGAAGGCTAATGTCCAGAATGATTAGATTATTTTCCTCTGCTCTTTTCCTTACCAGCTTTGTTTTAGGGACTGGTATTTAAGTAGGCGATAATGTGCACATTTCGGGGGGGGGGGGCAGGCCGGGAGGGCAGAGGGGGGCGAGAGAGGGAGGGAGGAAGGAAATATATAACTTCAGGAGGGAACTTTTGGGAGTTATAGGAATATTCCAAATTGGTTGTAACAATTGTTGCAAAATTCTGTGTAGTTAACTAAAAAAAAAATCATTGAATGGAATACATATGATGGGTTAATTTTATGGCACATAAATTACACCTCAATGTAGTATTGAGGTATCGTGTTGAGAAAGGAGTATATAGTGTAAAGAAAGAGTATACAAAAAGAGTAGTGTACAAAGGCTTTCATCCTTTCTTTTAATGTCTCAGTTCTCCCAGTCATAATTTTTGAAGAGAGAAATGCATTGAATAAAAATGTGCCACAGTTCTATTTTATTTCTAAGTTTACTTACAGGTTTTTTAGAACATTTAATTCCTGCTGGGCAAGTATTACAGGATTCCCCAAACTGGAGACTTGAGACCAACTATAACTCACTGTTCAGAGCTGTGCCGTCCAATATAGTAGGCACAGCCACATGATAACAATTTAAATTTAATTAAAATGAAATTAAATAAAAACTCAGGTCCTCAGTCACAATTAGCTACATGTCAGTTGCTCAGTAGTGTCTACCATATTGGACGACACAGATAAAGAACATTTCCATCATCACAGGAAATTCACTGGTTTAGAGAATGAAATGTATTATACCCAAGATATTTTATTATTTGCCCTAAAACTTATGTCTTTTGAGTCTTACTAATTAATTCTAAAGAAATAATGAAAAAGAAGTTAAAAGTACTTTGTACAAAAATGTTCGCTAGACTCTCCAATTACTCTGGTTTCCAATTATCTCTTAATAGTGGCAAAACATTTGAAAATAACCAGGTGTCTACATATAGGAGAATAGTTTTTAAAAACATAGAGTCTACCTGATAAAATACCAGAGTAATTAAAAACACGTAAGCTAAAGTAGAAAAAGGCTATGTAAAAACCCTGAAAGTATTTGATATAATTTTTAAAGCACAATACAAAATTATAATGTGATTATAACCATGTAAATTATGTACAAATTTGAAATAAAGATTAGAAGGGAGCCTGAAAAAATGAAGAAGGTTGATCTATTTCCCTTTAGAAACAAAAGTAAGTATTTTTTCTTGGTTGTCCCCTAGAGCACCAGAAGTGTCTGGACAAACTCCTCAATAATTGCATTTTGAGCTGCACCATGCAGGAGCTAATTGGTTTATACATTACCATGGAGGAGTACTTCATGAGGGAAACTGTGAATAAGGTAGGACAGAGGACACATCCCTTGGAAATGGGGCCTTTCTGTCAAAGAAGCCATACTGAAGGAAATGGCCAGGCATGTCGTTTTTCTTGGTCCTGCTTTGAGAATACCCATGCATACAGGCTGAGTGGCATCACTTCGTATGGTTAGAACACCTCAGCTCCTCAGGGAGTCTACTTGTTCCTGCCTCCCTAGAGGTATGTGGGTGAGGAGTCTTGGGGAAGAAGGGCCTTAGTGATGTCTTACATCCCAGGTAACAGATGTCCTCAAGGCAAAAAGGCCCTGAATACTTAATTTCTTAACAGTGATCAGTGGGGAACTGAGGTATTTTAATAAGGAGGATCCACACCCACCTGTGACCAGAATAAATCAAGTTGGGGGAAACATGGACAAGATATAGAAAAGGAAACAGCCAGGGACTGTTCCAAAACTATCTCAAACAGCGACATGCAGAAGGGGCCCTTACTGGGTGCTTTGCCTTTTGGGTAGGCTGTGGCTCTGGACACCTATGAGAAGGGCCAGTTGACATCCAGCATGGTGGACGATGTCTTCTACATTGTTAAGAAGTGCATTGGTCGGGCTCTCTCCAGCTCCAGCATTGACTGCCTCTGTGCCATGATCAACCTTGCCACCACAGAACTGGAGTCTGACTTCAGGTATGCTTGGCGCTCTTTCTCATTTCTAGGGGGCAGAAAGGTCTTAATTGTGATTGATTGCTGAGGCACACTTGTTTCTCCCTTTTTTCCCCTTATGATAATAGTTCAGTTCTATACAGGGTATAACCTCTTATCCATAGCACAGCATGCTTGGCTCCAGAGAGTTGTATAGCAGCCACATATCTTATGGGCCAAGTCTGCACCCTGGACTGGATTGGAGGTCATCGACCCTCAGACTAAAAAAAGAACAGGCAGCTCAGATAAAGGAGTAGTTGTAATATTAACAATTATAGTTACTATTGCTACATGCCAGCATTATGCTGATTGCCTGCTCTTATTCAGTCCTAATAACAACCCTGTGAGGTAGGAACTATATAAAAGCTTTGTTTTATAGACGAGGAAACTGGGGCTTAAGGAGATGCCCTCCCTTGTCAAAGATACCACGTCTTATATGTGGTGGAATAGGGACTAAAGTCCTAAACTGACTGCCTCAAAACCCATTCATCCAGCTCTTTCTCAGCACTACCTTTCATTGAGCTGTACAGCTGAGTTTGTTGGAGTTCAGTGATAATAATTGAAAGCCTCACAGGAAGTCAAGAATTAGCTAGTCTTCTCTGTGTGCTTGTCATCGGTGCCCTTGAGAGGCACTGGTCTCTCTCATACTCCGGCTGCTCAAGGTCTCCTACAGTCGTCTCAAGGATTGGTTATACCCCCAGAAAAACAACTTGTGCTGCTGGGTCAGGGTAGAAGGCCCTCTGGTCCTCTCTCCTGGAGACCATATTGAGTGCTCTCAATCCCCATCAATCCCCATATGCCATTCTGCCCCCTAGGGATGTCCTATGTAACAAGCTGCGGATGGGCTTCCCTGCCACCACCTTACAGGACATCCAGCGTGGGGTGACAAGTGCCGTGAACATCATGCACAGCAGTCTCCAGCAGGGCAAATTTGACACGAAAGGCATTGAGAGTACTGACGAGGCCAAGCTGTCCTTCCTGGTAGGTATTCCCACCGGCCAGGAGCTGGGTTGGTAAATATCGAAAGGTTGAATTATGATCTCTAGGCTACAGTATAGCCTTCAACTGGACACTTTTCTTCTAGTGTCTGTGTGGAAGCAAAACTCCTTTAAGGAAAGCTTCTAGAAGGCCCTGAAACCATTTCTTACCCAGGGATAAATTTCTGAGGAGCCTGAGCCAGGACAGGCACTGTTTCTCTCCTGGAAGTCTGGGTATCTCTGGATTTCTGGAGTGTTCATCCCCATCAGCACTACCCTCAGGGGCTCCACTGAGTATCAAGCTTGGCTTGAGTCTGCCACAGAACCAACTGGAATATCTGTGCCAAGCCTCCAGAATGCTCCTCTGAGGGCAGTCCCCCAGCACAGGGTGGGGTGCCAGTCCTTTAAGCCTACCAGGACTACTTTTCTAGCACACTTGTTAGGCTTTCAACTTTCTCAGAAAGGTAACCTTATTAAAGCCCTCAGCTACCCAGAATGACAGATGTGATGAAGCAGTGAGTCTTCGCAGTTGTGTGACAACTGGCACAGGAGAAGTGTGGAAGGATGAGAGGATTTATAAAAGGTAACAGCTAGTTTGTGATGAGCCAAAAAGGACATAGATGAGTCCTGAGCTCACATTTGGGCCTCTCTGGCACTTGCTGTCTGGGCACAAAGGGGAATAGCACTGTCAGAGGTCATTCTGCTTCACCCTTACTTTGCCCAGACTCTAGTCATCTTGGTTCCTCAGGGTCAGAGGCTAAAGGAAACACGATAGCAGAGCTCTCCATTAGTAAGCAGATGGAGTCTCTGAATACCCTGGGGTTGGGTGAAAAAGTGTATACATGTATTTTTTTCCAGAAACAGGGTCCTTAACTTTTCAGATTCTTTACTCCCAAAAGAGTTTAGAGCAGTTATTTTCGCAGACAGAAACTTAAATATACTAATGTCTTCCCTGTCTCTGTACAAGTAAACACACAGTAACTAGTCCTCAGCCAGATCCAGGATGTAGGCTCTTTAGGCAGTGCCACTCTCCTCCTGTCACTGAAAATATTTTCCCTGGGCATGGGTTCTGTCAATCTGGAATGTCATGGTTGTTACCAAAAAATTATCAGCTCCAAGAAATGGCTGCTTCTGAGTATGGTGCTTTTGGAGAACTTAGCCAAAACGTCTGGTGGCCAGCTTCATATGATCATGGATTGACTTAAATTTTTCATTTTGTTTCTATCGCATTTCATTTTTTACATAACTTATTTCATTCTGTTTCACTCTTTCATTTCTCTGCTCAGCAATGACTTCATGCTACCTGCCAGAACAAAGCTAGATGTCTTTGCCTGGCTGTTTGTTCAAGGCCCTTTGAATCTGACCCATCCTGCCACTCTACTTGTCTTTTCCACCATTTGGCTTCACAAGTCCCCATAAGGCTAGTGCCTGTGCATTCATGCATTGGCTGCTCCCATTCAGACAGTTTCATTGTTTGAGGGCCCAGAAGGTAAAGCAAAAAAGAAAGGTGATGCTGCCCTGGCTGGTGTGGCTTAATTGGTCGGAGTGTCATCAGTACACCCAAGGGTCGCAGGTTTGATTCCCCATCAGGGCATATATGCAGGTTGCAGGTTTGATCCCCAACTGGAGCACGTACGAAGAGGCAACCAATCGATGTTTCTCTTTCACATTGATGTTTCTCCCTCTCTCCCTTCCTCTCTTTCTAAAAGCAATGAAAAAAATGTCCTTGAGTGAGGGTTAAAAAAGAAAAAAAGAAAAGAAAGGTGATGCCGAATGCTTGATGACAGGTTTCTAGTTTTTCTGACGCCAAGTACTTAAACTGTCATCACTCCCACCACAGGGCCTATTTCTTATGTCACCTTGATTCATTTGGTTGTCAAGATGAATTCCCCATTGGTACTGACATATCATTCAGTGTGTGCTGTGATAAGCCTATGGAATCCATGCTTACAAGGGCTGACAGTACAAGGAAATTTTGAAATCAATACCATTTGAACCCAAATCCATTTTCCTCCCATGACATTATTCTTGGTGCCCTTCAATGCCTTGGAAACATTTATATTGTCATCTTCATCCTTGAGTTGTCGTGACGTGCAGTTAGTTCCCTGGGAGCTGATGTTAGCAGCCTTGTGTTGTGGCATGCTCATGAAAGGCCTTAAATCTTACCCATCCACAACAGAAGCAGCCGCAGCACTGTCAGCAGCATGACCTTTCAGTATTGGCTGCAGGACACTGATAAAAGAAGCATTCTCGGGAGACGAGAGGGATGTCCTTATCTCAACCCCCTGGGGTTCTGGGATTCTTCTTTTACCCTGAAATCCTGAAGCTCCTGACTCATCTCTTGAAAACTGACTCCTCCCTACATCACTCTCTGCCTTCCTGGTCATGCCACGAGCACCAGTTCAGAGGCTGGGTGATTCTCTCCAACTTCAATTCCTGCCCCACACAGCCTCTAGGTTAGTACTCCCAACCCACAGCTGTGCTCGTGTGGCATCCGCCTGCTGCAAATAATCCTCAGTGTTACCCCACTGTCCACAGGACAGCATGGTATCCAAGTGCCATTCTGACTTTACCCACATCTGCAGCCCCACCTCTTAGATCCTTCTACCCTTGTCTGTGTGCTGACTCTGCTGACTCCGAATGCCTTCTGGAGTTTTCTGCCACTCTGCATTTGATTATGTTATTTCTTCTCTATAACATAATCATTCTCTCATTTGTTCATTCAGCAAATATTTATTGAGAAACTTCAGGCACTGTTCTTGGTTCTAGAGCTAAACTGTTCAATATGGTAGCTACTAGCCACAAGTGGCTAAGTGTAAATTTTGGAATCTATTTCCTGTGTTGCATTGGCCACATTTCTAGTGCTCAGTGGCCACACATGGCTAGAGACTACCATTCTGGATAGTTAAGATTTAGAGTATTTTCATCATCAAGAAAGTTCTGTTGGACAGTACTCTACTAGAAACATTGCAGTAAAGAAGACAGACTAGATCTCTGCCTTCAGGGAGCTGTCATTCTAGTGGGAAAGACAGGCAAGAAACAAACAATATCAGATCATCCTAAGTATCATTAGGGAAATATTGAACTGGACAGTGGGCTAGAGAGAGGCTCGTGGGGGTAGAGAAATGTACTTACTGTCATTTCCCATCAGAGCTATGTTTCAGCCTTTTATTCTTTTTAATTGATTTTAGAGGAAGGGAGAGAGAGAAAAAGAAACATAAATTTATTGTACCACTTATTTATGCATTCATTGGTTGATTCTTGTACGGACCCTGAACCAGGGATCGAACCCACAACCTTAGCATATCAGGATGACACTCTAACCAACAGAGCTACCCAGCCAGGGCTGTTTCAGCCTTTCAAATTCAGCTCAGTTAAAACTCTGCCATGGAGCTTTCCTTGAATGCCTTGGACCAAAATATTTTTTCTTTTCTCAAAATGGCCATAGCAGTGTGTGCCTTAATTATCACTTTGTCACATGTTGTTTTTTATGATTGGTATTTCAGCACCTAGCTTAAAATTCCACTGAAATATGAGAGAAGGAGCCCTTGGCCTAGAGCGAGGAAACCTGAACTCTGAACTTGGCCCTAGCGTTGCGGCCTGCCATTCTCTGAGTTTCTTTCTCATTACTGCACTTTATTTTTCTTCATGGTGTTCATCACTCCCTAGCATTATAAAATACATATATTTATTATCAGACTTCCCCCCAGAATATAAATTCTATGAGGGGATGAATTTTGTCTGTTTTGTTCACTGCTTTCTCCCTGGTGCCTAGAACAGTGCCTGGCAGGTAGCCAGTGCCAGGTAAGTATTTGCTGAACTAATTCTTGACTGACCTTGGTGAATCACTTCACCTTCTAGGAAATTTTGTTCCTATGTATGAGCTGGCTTGATAATCCTTGTTTTGCTGAGGATATTTGCATGAGAAAAATGCTTCCTGGGTGCCAGGCTCTCAGGAAGGGTTTTTTTAATGTGCATCAGCCTTTTGCATCACTGACCTGGACATGGAGGTTTGGAGCCTCAGGATTTCTCCCAGACCTGTGTGTCGAACCATGGAAAAAAAAGACCTGAAACCTGGGGTCGCTACTTCGGAGGTCAGGTTGGCTTTGCTGCCTTGGTGTCAGGCATAGGAGAAAGGGCGAGCCTGGTTCACCATTCTGCCCAACCCAAGACCTGAGGGCTCTGCCTGAGGGCAGTGCTGTGGGCCTTCCTTAGCCCCCTCTGAGCCCAGGAGTGCTGCTGCCAGCCATTCTGGCGCTGGAGTGGGTGCAAACTCCGGTGAGCACAAAGTCACATTCTTTTGTCCTCATCTCCCAGGTGACTCTGAACAACGTAGAAATCTGCAGTGAAAATATCTCTACTCTGAAGAAGACCCTGGAGGTACAGAGGAAATTGCCTGTCAGCTTTTAGTCGCTACAGCCTCCCTTGGCCTCATTTTGAGAGGAAGCCTATGCACTCATCCTAGTGGGGACTGTGGCATTCCCTAGCATCGAGCCAGCTCTCCTTCCAAGCACTTGAAGGGATTCACTAGTGTTTCACTGATGAATCAAGGGGTAACAGGGTGTCTCAACCAGTATGAAGAGCCCTGGCCCAAGATTTGAAAAATCAGAATTCAGGTTAGATCTTCCAGCACATACTTAGCATGTGACCTTGGGTAAGTCCCTTAATTCTCCAAGCTTTAGTTCTCTCATCTATTATATGAGGTACAGATCTCCACCCTACTTTGGGTTTGTTGGGTAGCATAATAAAAAAAACAGGGTTGAAAACTCTGTAAGAATGATAAAGCCCAATATAAATGTAAGAGATTAAGATGAGATAGGATCACCAAACCTTGTACAAAGCTGGTTGCTGTTCCAATTTTTAAAGGAAGGCTGCATAGCACAGTGAAATTTCTTGCACTTAGAAGTCAGATACTCCTGAGTTCAAATCTCCACTTGATCACTGACCAGTTGTGTAGCCTGAGGCAACTTATGTAACATCCCTGAGCCTCAGTTTCCTCATTTGTAGAACAGGGAGAATGATCTCTACCCAACAGGCCGATTGTGAGAATTGAACAAGATAATACAAAGCACATGGTACACAAGCAGAATGCAGTGGTAATAAATTGTATTAATAGTTACAAATAACGTCATGGGGCAGTCACTTTAAGTGCTAAAAAGGGACCCAGCTCTGCCTCTGGGAAAGGAGGGAGGCCAGGGTCCTACCTCCCTAGTGACACTTGTACCAAGGAGGCTGCTTTGCTGCAGAGGCACAGAGCTCAATGTGCAGAGTGGTGGTGAGTGTCGGCATTAGGGCCGAGGAGGCTGGGGGCCAGCACATAAGGAAGAGGGCCCAGTAGCTGACCGGGTTTCTGAGGGGGCACGGAGAAAACAGCTGAGAGTTGACAGTAGTACTGTAAACTGGCTAGATTAGGGATTTACCCTAAAAAGGGCCTTAGAATGGAATAATGCAAGAGTGATGCAAAGTACCAATAGCTTAGTGTCTGTCACACTGTGTATTCAACAAGGTGACTGTGATTGTTTTTAAGTCATGGCATCTTAGATTATATTCCTGATTTCATATTTAACTTAGTCTGTTGGATTTTGAAGTAAAATTTTAGGAAATGTTAGGAATTCAAAACAGAGCTAGTAGAATTAGCCAAGTGAAAGAAAACAGGATAGCAAAAAGCTAAAAACAATTCCTGTAAGTCCTGCTGGGTAGGATTTATTTAAGGTCCAACCTGCCCCCTATAGATTTGCATTTCTCATATGTTCTTAATCTGTCAGCAACCCATGAGGTCATGTGGCATGAAGTCCATTTTACAGATGAGATTAAACGGCTAAAGGTAGTAAAGACTGGAGCAGCTGTAGGAATGGAGGACCTCTGCCCGGTAGATCAGTCCCTTCGCACCTCTCCCGCAATGCTGCTCCTGCTGTAGCCACAACAGCGCAGACTTTCTAAGGCCTCAGGAAATGTGGGCAGCTAGCAACCCAAACATGGTGAACTTCAAGCAGCTCCCCCTGTAGACCTCTGTACAGCTGGGTTGTAGTGTGGGGATTTAGGTACCTGTGCTCTGGAGCCAGAATTCCCACCTTGAATCCCAGCTCCACAGCTTAACTGCCATATGGCTTTAGGCTATTAACTTATCTATGCCTCGGTTTCCTCATCTAAAGAAGAGGGATAATAACAGTACCTACTTCATAAGTTAGGTACTATAGATAATAAAAAATAAAATGCTTAGAACAGGGTCTGGCTCATGGTAAGCAGTTAAGTTTTATCTGATCATGATGATCTCCCTTGGACTGCCAGGTGATAGTATTTAAAAATCAGAAACTGTAACAATAGCTAGCATGTCCTTAGTGCCTACTATGTGCCAGGCACTGGGCTAAGCACTTGGGGCATCATTTCATCCAACTCTCACAACCACCCAGGAATCAGGAATTTGTGTTCTCATTTTATAGACAGTGAATTTGAAGTTCAGAAACTTGAAGTCACTTGACCAAGGTCACTCAACTAATAGGTGGCTGAGCCAGGATTTGAACGTAGGAATGTTTGGCTCTAAAGGTACGAAACAATGTCTGGTATTTGTGTTTCTTATTCACATCCCCTGACACTGGTACCTCCAAGTTACAAAGAAGGAAGTGGGAGCCAAGTGGTTAGCTACCAGGATAGAATCCAGGTTTCTGAAACCCAACCAGGGCTCTTGCCCAGGATCAGCCTTAGCTGTTCCCAGAGAAGGCCAGAGGAAGAGAAATGGCTGGTTGCATATTGCTGCCCTTACCACTGTTGTGTGATCTATGCTCAGAAGCCTGAAAACTGGATGTTCTCCCCTAGAGTGACTGCACCAAGCTGTTCAGCCAGGGCATTGGAGGGGAGCAGGCCCAGGCCAAGTTTGACAGCTGCCTTTCTGACTTGGCTGCCGTGTCTAACAAATTTCGAGACCTCTTGCAGGTAAGCCCCGGGTTCAACAACTGGCTGAATCCTGTGCCTGTGTGCTTCTCTGAGAAGATTGAAGATTGTTACTGGCTTACTGTGGGCTATGTGTATAAAGAAACAGAGGAGGGGTGAGGGAGTAGCATGCAAGCCATTGAAATTGTGTAAGTCCCTTGAGACTAAAGGCCCCATTGGTTTTTCAGCAGTACAGTTGTCACATTGACAGGCTAGCATTCTGGTCCTCTAGAATCTCCACTTGGCTCCACTGTGTCAAGAGCCCTCAGAAAGGTGCTCTGAGTAAATGGGACCAGGTGGTTAGTCAGGCCTGCTGCTTTGCCTTAGTCACAGGTGCTGCCAGTACCTGGCATTCAGAAGTCTCTGAGACGGGGCACAACAACCTGTAGGCCTTATCTCTGACCTGGATGTGAATTGGCACAGATCTGGAAAGGAACTGGTTGTTTTTGGCCTCTTGTATCAGAATTACCTCTTTCGCTGCAGACAGAGCCTGCAGATAATCTCAGATCTGGAAGAATGCTCTAGCAGTCAGGGGATGGGGTAGGAGAAAGGGTTGGGGGACGGCCTTGTGGGTCTGATGCATCTCTACCTTTCCTTTGCAGGAGGGGCTGACAGAGCTAAACAACACAGCAATCAAGCCTCAGGTGCACCCTTGGATCAACACCTTCCTTTCTGTGTCCCACAACATCGAGGAGGTCAGCCTGACCACAGGCAGCCATCAAGCTCTGGATTGCCCCCTTGTTCCCCGAGCCCCCGTCTGGACAGCAGTGGAACTGTCTAAAGCAGCGATTTTCAACCAGTGTGCTGCAAGAATTTTTAAAACATTCAATACCTCACTCTTTAGTCAGGGGCACTGACCTCTTTTCCCTTAGATTGTCAAATAAAAAAATGACAACAGCTAACAAAACAATAGCTGTCTGATATAAATGAATTAGAATTTTACCTAATTTTTTTGTCAATTGGCAAAAAATGAATATTTTGATGTGCCACAGAATTTTAGTTATATATATATATATATATATATATATATATATATATATATATACGCGCCATGGTTGAAAAAGGTTGAAAACCGCTGGTCTAAACAGACTTGTCCTTACATGTTTCAAAGGCCCATTTCCCTCACCCTCAGCCTAGGTTCCTTCTAGGAAATGGGTTGTTCCTGCAGTCAGAAGGTTCAGAGAAACATCTGAAGGGAGTTTGCCTTGAATTGACATATCCTCTTTTATTGAGGCTCTTTTTGCCTTACCTGTTATCAACTTAGCCTTTTTTTTTTCTTTTTTTTTTTTAATTAAGGATTTTGTTCCTGTAGAACATGAGATGCTAGAGTAAGTCAATGCCAGGAGCTTTACCATATTGTGTCGGCCATGGCTATAGGCCAGAGCCATTTGCCAGTGGGAAGTGTGATGCAGAAGCAGCAGCAGTCACTGACAGCTGGGGTGTCCAAGCTGGTTTTAAGGTTGATGATTCAGAAGCTACAGGGGAAGAAGGGCCTCTTCCGTTAGAGGGGTGGAAGTGGGGTGAGGGTGAATGGTTCTTCTTGAAGGAGCCCCCAGTGACCTACCTTGCTTCCTAACAATAGGAAGAATTCAACGACTATGAAGCCAATGACCCTTGGGTACAACAGTTCATCCTTAACCTGGAGCAGCAAATGGCAGAGTTCAAGGTGAGCAGAGGCTCTAGGGACCAGCTTACAGGATTACCCGCTTCTCCCCAAACCAGCAGCCTGCATCTCCTCATCACATTCCTGCTGGGAACCCTGAAAGCCCCTCCAAGTCCCAGCCTGGATAAGCACTCCCCGATGACCTCATATAACTGCCCCTATCACCCAAAGACTCCGTTTTGTAGGCAGAGGGGTAGGTAAGACTCCCACTGATATCTAGCCTGTGTGTGTGTGTAGGCCAGCCTGTCTCCAGTTATCTATGACAATCTGACCAGCCTCATGACCAGCTTTGTGGCAGCTGAACTGGAGAGAGTGGTGCTGAAGTCCACCTTCAACCGGGTAAGGTTAAAGGAACACAGGTCCCCAGCTGTGTTGTTTCTCCTCTGTAGAAGATGAGTCCTATCACTTGCATCCCCTATTTACTACTCCCAGGCCCTGCATATCTAGGCCCAGTCCTGCCCTGACTTCTGAGGCTTGAGAGCTGATTGCAACCACCTAAAGCTCTGATGGCATTGCATCCCAGCACTAAGGGAAATTGGGGGCAAGTTCTGATTGGCTAGAGGGCCAGCCTTGAACAGTGTGACTAGGCTTGTGTTTCCCTGCAGCTGGGCGGTCTGCAGTTTGACAAGGAGCTGAGGTCACTCATTGCCTACCTTACCACAGTGACCACCTGGACCATCCGAGACAAGTTTGCCCGGCTCTCCCAGATGGCTACAATCCTCAATCTGGAGCGGGTATGTGGGGCCCCCTCTGCCTAGCCAGGGAAAGATGTCTGGGCAGAGAGGTGAGAGGCATAAATCAAATTTGGGTCCAAGCTACTCCCTTAAAATGCTAGCAGCCCAGCCTTGCCGGAACCTTCTCCTTCCTGGGCACCACAGCTCTGAATTTGGTGGAGCCCAAGGCTTTCCCTCAGGATAGTCCCCTCCTTGCAGACTTGTCTCTGTTCTTCCCACAGGTGACTGAGATTCTAGATTACTGGGGTGCCAACTCTGGCCCATTGACATGGCGCCTCACCCCTGCTGAAGTACGCCAGGTGCTGGCCCTGCGCATAGATTTCCGCAATGAGGACATCAAGAGACTGCGCCTATAGCTGCCAGGGTGAGCCCACCTGGCCCATCACACTTCAGAGTCCATTCCCTAAGTGGCCACAGCCAAGGAACTGAGCAAGGCTCTCTGGCATGGGGGAAAGCCCAGACCATTCCACCATTGCCAACAGAAATAAGGCATTAACTAACTCCACTCTCTGCACTCACTTCTAGCTGGGTGGTGCTTTGGGAGCAGCCTCTCCCCACCAAGAGGTGGGTCCCCCTGGGCTCCTAATGAGGTAGGAAAGTCAACTCCAGCCAGCCTTATGCATGGTGGTCATGCTCTTATCCCTGGACACTAGCAAACAGACTGCCTCCCTGCCAGCCCTAAAGGATTTGGGTTCATCTGGGAACCTAGGGTATTAGGTTTACTCTAAGAGGGTATGGTATTTATGACCACCCTGATTAAAGAGACTCCTTGGAGAGATGCCAGTGTGCTGTTTTCAGGAAGGGCTGGGTACTACAGGGCAAGGCAGGTCTACCAGTTCTACTGAAAATGTGAAAAGAAAAACCTAAACCCTCAGCCTCCTCCCACACCCAAAGCAGCACACAGCTACTGCCAGGACCCACATGATAGATTGTGACTCATCCAATCCTGGACCCTAATTCCCATCTTGGGCCCTCAGCTGCATCATCCTCACAGCAATTTCTCACAGTGCCAGAGAAGGTGTGAATTCCTCCTGGCAGAAACAGAACAGCCTTATGAGGACAACGTTGAAGGGCAAATTGAATTTATTCCAAGAAGGTCATGGTCCTAAAAACCTATTGTCCATAGGCTCTGGGTCACTGGGCACAGTCCACATTACTGGTTAAGGTCTGAGTTGGCATGACTGGCTGTATGTAGACTGCACTGGCTCACTACCACAGATGTGGGTATGGACCACACCTACTTCCACTCCCCCATCAAGGCATCCTGGGAGTGTTAAACATGAAATCTCTATTCAGGCAAAAGCCTGACCTCTAAGGAAGGACACAGGAAGTGCCTCAAAGAGTCAGCCTTACCAAGGGACGCAGCCATCTGCTAAAACAGGTTGTCATCCCCTACTTCCAGGGCCCTCATGGAGAGGAAAAGGTCACAGTCCCAGCTGAGCCATGGGATTTGTAAAGGCCACAAGAGAGACTGAGCTTAGGACCTTTGTATGTTCAGATGGAGCAGAGGCCAAGCCTAGGCCACTGTCAACCAGGAGGCCACAGTCCTGTTCCCCAGCATGGTCTCTGCTTCACTAGGCTTCAAAAGGGGCTGGGCCCAAAGTCAGGTCAGCTTCCTTTGGGAGCAGATTCACAGAGGTAGGCAGGGAGTAGGTGGCTGAGTGCTCTGAAAGGAGGGGCTGCTGTAGCTCCAGATTTTGTCTTACAGAGGGACAGGCCTCATGGGAAGGGGTATCAGGTTGAGGTCTCACTCTCCAACAGCTGCAGGCTCAGGCCCTGGGTGTCCACTTCTACCAGGTGGATGCTGTAGTTGCCGAGGCCCTGGGAGCAAAGGACAAGTGGTGTTTAGAGGGCTGTGGACAAATCTCTGGCCTTCCGGAGGCTGATCTGAGACTGCCACTCTAGCCCCTCATTAGCCAGAAAGCCACAGTGAAACTCCTGCCCCTCACCAACTCCCATACCCGACACTGTCAGGTACCTTAGTCTTGGCCAGCACAGCTTCCAGAGCCTCCTTTTGCCTTGGTTTCTTGGTCAGCAGGTAGAGAAAGCCCCCGCCACCTGCCCCTGCCAGGCTCTGGCCATGCACATGGGGGGCCAGGACATCCATCATTCGCCGCACAACCAGGGGCTCAGAGCCTGGAGCCATGAGCTTTTTCTGCTCCCAGTACGAGGTCAGGCACTGGCCCAGCAGAGGCAGGTTTCCTGGGGTGGGGACAGAAAGAGGAGAGGTGAGCCTGAGCCAGAATGTTCTGTCAATGTCCATTTGTTGACAGTAAAGTACCAAGAGGTACTGCTTAACCAGGGGCTGGAAACAGGAGTAATAAAGACCACCTCACAGGGTTGTCTGAGGACTAATTTGCACAGAGCAGCTGAAACGGTGCCCAGCAGCGTTCAGTAAACTGTGTAGCCATTGATTTGGAACCCTGCTTAGCTCTGACTCTGACACTCGGCTTTGGGGCCAAACCTCTTCCTGCTTCTTTATAGGAGGGGCTGGAGGCCTTCCCCATGATGCAAGTATTGTTCTGAGATAGGGCTCCCACCTAAGTGAGACTCTAGGGAAGACAGTAGGATTCTGTCCTCAGGGACCTAACACCTGGGGCCTGTGCTAAGCCTGCAGAGGCCTCTGGCCTCAGATCCATGAGCAACAAGGCACTCACTCCTGGTGCTCTGCCCTCGGGGAAGAAGCGCCTCACCTTGGCGGAAGGCTTCCACGCACTCCTCCGTGTGCTGCACTAGGCTGTGAGCATTCTGCACGACAGCAGGCAGCCGGGCATACCAGCTCCTCAGCACATCCTGCAGATGGGGCAGGAGGGGTGCAGTGAGGATCTGGGCCCTGCTGAGCCTTCTGCCTCCCTCCTGGGGCCAGGGCTCACCTGCAGCAGATTGCGAGCCAGACGGGTCTTGCCAGTGTACACCAGGAGCAAGTGGTCATTGAGTGTCTGAACAAAGCCTTCAGGTACAGTGATCTCTTCCACCTCAACCTTCAGTGGCAGCTGAGCACGGGAGCGCCCCACCTTGATGCCAGGCAGTAAACCACCCACTTGGTCCTGCCAGCCACCTCCTGTGAGCCCAGGGTCCATCACTGTTGCAACCTATCTGACCCAACTTCCTTCTCCCAGCCCAGGCTCCTGGCCCCCAGCGTCCCTGGCAGGGACCAGTGTGGAAAGACAGCTTTCCCCAACTCCAGCTGGGCCAAGTGAGCTGTCCAGCTGCTCTCCCCATCCTTGGGAGCAGGATGAGCCCAGCAAGAGAAAGGATTTCACTCCAGAACCAAGCTTGGGTTGCACAAGTCCAAGTTATACTGCAGACCTCATGGTTAGTGGAGCTGAGGTAAACCACATCGAAGGGTAAGACCTTGCACTCACCTCTCCCCAAGGAGAGGTGATAGAGGGCTTTCCATGCAGCCTAACTGACCCCTGCTCCCTCTCTTTTCTGGAAATAAGCTTTCAGCCTCGTTTATCAAACTTGAAAGAGCTTGTTCACATCTTGCTTTAGTAATGAAAGGTATGGATCTCTTTTTCTCTTGCAGCTCTGTAAAAATAAAACTTGAGATTGTTCTGGGATAGACCCTTGGTATTTGGGGAAGGGCCTACAAGAGTTTAAAGTATATGTAAAATGCAAATGGCAGGAGGCACCTGGAACTTTACAGCCAAAACACTGTGTTTAGTGGCAGGGCCCGAATGTCAACTCCCTGATGGCACTCCTCTCCTTCAGAGCATCAAGTGCAGCTTATAATTCTACATTCCTTTGAGTAGTGATTGGTTAATGTCTGTCCCCAATAGACCACATTACCTTTGAGACCAAGGGCCCTGTTTTTGCTCATTTTATCCCCAGAGCCCAACACGGAGTGGATACTCAATAGCTGTCAGTTGACCAAATAAAGGATTTGAATGGTACATCTCAGAAGAAAACTGAAAAGGCCTCTCTATCTGCCCCTCTTGCTAAAAACGACCTATTATGCGATATGAGTCATTACAATGAAAGGAAGGGGAGGGTGGGCTGGTAAGTGACCAGAAAAGACAGCATCATCAGCATCTATACATCTTTGTGACAGTTTCCTGCCCAGAATCATAATGGGAATGAAGCCTGGGATCCTGGGGTAACCAAAGCACCCTAGGATTGGGCCAAAAATGTGACTGCTCCCCATTGTGCATGGAGTCCAAGGGGCCGTGGTGGTGAGAGGAGGGAAAAGCCTGGTGCCATTAACATTCCCCTATGGTCGCAGCCATGTTCTGGGCCCTCAGTGCGGCAGGCAGGGGAGGTGGGCACAAATGACCAGAGCCCAAGGAAGGGACAAGTGGGCTGGAAAGGCAGGCTGAAGGTCCTGTCCCCTGCTCCAAACTCCAGTTCTCCCCAGCTCCACCCTAAAGGAGCAGCACAGTTATGGGGCTGTCTGCAAGCCCAAGGAGCCTCGGAAAACTCTTGGAAAAATGCCAGTGACCTCCCACCAGGGACAGTCCCATACCTGTGGTGAGCACCTGCTCCAGGTGCAGCACTGCATGGATCAGGGCCTCCGTGCTCACCATGCGGCCCGCGGCCCGCTGCAAGGCGGCCAGGGCAGTGCCCGCCAAGATACTGCTGGTGCCTGGACCGCAGGGAGGAGGGGTGAGGCAGGGAGGAGGGGTCAGGCATGAAACCGCGCTGCCCTGCCCAGCCCCGCCCCGCTCCGCCCACTCCGTCTTGGGCAGAGGCAGTGAGGAAGATGGAAGGCGAGGCTCGAGTGCGCGGATGGAGTGGTTGGCAGCAGGGGTACAGGGCCCACTCACCAAGGCCAGAGCCATGGGGCAGCTCAGACCAGGTGTGCAGCTCAAAGCCACCCCCAAAGGTGCGCAGTAACTGCTCACTCAGAGAGAGCTTGGAGCGGACTTGCACGATCCCCGCACAGATAAAGGCTGCCTTCAGCAGGGCCCCTGCAAAGGGATCAGTACCCAGCAAGGAATTTGGTCTCCGGAGACAGAGGAAGACATACTACCTCACCTCTACTGTTTCCCAGCGCAGCATGGGGGCTCATCTGAGGGACAAAAATTCCAGCAATAGTGCAGGTCCTACCCCCAAGCCACAAAAAGACTTCTGGGTTCCCCAATGTGGGCAAATGTGCCAGCTCTACTTCCTGCACCTGCGCGTGCCTGGACAGGGTGACCTCAGGGCTCCCCAGCCAGACTCGCTAGTTCTCAGGCCAGGCCCCCAGGATCTCCAGGGTTCTGCCCCTACCCTCCACCCCCGCTAGCTGTGTGTGCCATCCCTGCTAGCAGATGTCCTGGGTGCCCTGACCTGGAGCATGGGGCTGGCAGTAATCCTGCAGGTCCTCCAGGCTCCGGCACACTATCTTCATGGCCATCTCATCCTGCTGAGGCCCCACTGCCAGCCACAGTTCAGGCTCCGAGATGCGGCGAGCCCTGGCCCCAATGGGCCGGCAGCCATCCACTCGCACGGCCAGGCCCAGCACTGCCCCGCCAAGCTCATAGGCCAGGGGTGGCGTGTCGCTCCATCCTCCTGTAGCAGTTGACAAGACCAAGCTGATCATGCGGGCCTTAAGAGTCCAGCTCTGGGGTGGCTACCCTCCCCCCTGCCCAACGGGCTCACCAGAGAAATCCACGCGAGCCGGGCAGTCAGCCACCACCCACTGCCCAGGTGCCGGTAGCTCCACCGGCTGTGTGGAGACAAAGTGCTGGGCTGACATCACAGCTTGGCGGATCAGGATCTGCTCAGCCCCCTCGTAGTGGCGGGCAGCTCGCACTAGCAAGGCTGGTCTGCCAAGAGGGAAGGGACGGGTATCAGCACAGAGCCCTAGGCTGGGGGCAGACTGCCTGGGCTTGGGGACCTGCCTGCCCTGGGTGGCCCGAGTTCACCCCACCCCACCTCTCTGGGTTTCCACCTACAAGAATAACCAGTCTTCTCCAGGGGTTCTGATATCATTAGCACCCACCTCCTCAGCCACTTGTCCCGCTCCTGGGCAAGTGCCTTCACACCCCCAGCCAGGTCTCCACGCTCCAGGTACGAGAAGGGCCGAGTCCACTCAGGATTGCCAGCTGGTCCACTCCGTAAGCCACCCTGGCCTTCTGCCATGCAGCCCAGTACATCTGCCACACAGGCCAGCGCTCTGGCCGCCACTCCTGGGTCTCCAGCGCCAGCTGCAACTGAGGGGCCAGAAGTCGGGGTGATTGGGGGTGGGACCTACCCCACATGCCCTCTTCCCTGAAAGACTATTCCACAGTCCCCAGACACTCCAGGTCCCTCACGAGTCTTCACTTTTGCCCAAGTTGTATCCTTGCCTGTGAATGCACACCCCACTCCTCTGCTTGGCAAAGTTCTCCTCATTGTGCCAGCCCCAGCCCAGCCGTGCCTCTTCACCCGCACCTAAGACACCCAGAGTGGCTAAGATCTCAGACTCGAGTCAAGCGACCTGGCTTCAGTCTCAGCCCCACGCCCAACTAGCTGTGTGGCTGTAGGCGAACAACTTCAATAGGGATCATTTTCCACAGTCACTGGGACCATTAGGGAGCCCCAGCCCGTGTGCCCAGCCCTCAGGTGGAGTCAGCCACAATCCCCCTGGGGCTCTGGCACCTACGTCTCAGCTCCCAGTACTGAGGACACACATACGACCCAGAGGCTCAGGACCAGACCTCGGCCTTTCACTAAAAACCCTACTGACAAGGATGCAGCTTCCCAGAAACCTAAAAGCAAGCTCCACTGTGTTCCTTCCCTGCTTTGAAGTCTCATGTCTCCCTACTACCCTCAGGTCATCAACCCAAAGGGCAGGTGATGCTGGATCCAGCTTCCCAGCACTGAGATCCAGAATACTCACCCTGGTCCAGCGTGGCAAGCAGAGGCCCAGGACAGCCCTCACGGACAGCGGCCCATATCAGTGGGCGCAGGCTGAGGTCCTGCTGGGCCTCTAGCACATGGCGTGCCTTATGTAGGGCCTGGTGGAAGAACAGGTCCCGGCGGGAGGCCAGCGTGGCAGCCCGGTCCAGACACGGCTGCAGCTGCTCCCAGGACAGACGCCAGGAGGCCCTCCAGGCCCACAGGGCCTCACCCCTATCCTCCTGGGGGTCTAGCATCCACAGCATGTCCCGGGGCCCCAGGGCCCTTGAGGGATGGAG